GAGTAAACAAATTGAGTAATATCATCAAACAGAAAAGGTGGCCAGAATTGATCAACAAAACAGGTGTAGTGTTTTACCATGATAATGTCAAATTTCACACAAGTTTGGTAACTGGTCAGAAACTGTTATAACTTAGATGGGACATGCGATCACACCAACCATATTAGCCAGATTGAGCTCACTCAGATTATTACTTGTTCTGGTCTATACAAATTTTTTTAACTGTAAGACATTTACTTGAAATGACAATGTCAAAAATCACTTGGATCAGTTTTTTGTAAGCAATGATCAAAACTTTTATGAATGTGAAATCATGCTACTACCAGAAACAATGACAACAGGTATTTGACCAAAATGGTTAATATATAATTCAATAAAATATTTATTTATTATAAAAATAGTGTGTTTTTTCCACGGAAAAAAACAAAATTACTTTCCAAACAACCCAATATTATATGGATTTGTCTTAAGGTTTTATTAAAAAACTATTATAATTCAAGATGAATATATTTCAACAATGTATCTCATTAAAGTAAGTCATATTGTTACAGAATAAGTTCAGATCCCTTGAAGGATCAAAAATATAATCTTTCTATATGGATATTTAATTTCTTTGGATGGATAAGTAGTTATATACACTAATTCATATTTTGAGATTTATACATTAACCACTTTGCAGTGATTGACAGATATACAAGTCAAGGGTGATCACGTGGCACTGGGGAATGATGTCAATATCTGCAAAAACATTTTAGCCAAAAATAACCGTGAAAAAAAATTCACATAAAAAGGAATTACGTGACAATAAAGAAAGATTTTTTCTTTACTAGACTTAACTGTTTAAAAAATTTTTTTCCGAAATGGAAATGAGAAAAACGTGTGGGAAAATTCTTAAAAAATTTCCATGTTTATTCTCCACTACATTGTGATAGTGCCATATCTGATTAACCCTCTCTACAAAGGTTAATTACAATAATAATAAAAATTTTCAAGATAATAACCTTATTATTACATGCAAATAATAAGACCTTTTGAACTTATCTGTATAAAATGATGTGAGCCCACGGATTTTTACGGGGATCTTAAAATCAAAAAACTTAACGTCAATTGTTAAAATGTAAACATATTTGTTAGAAAAAAATGGAGAAGAAGAATTTAGATCAGAGGTCTCTGGTTATAGTAACAAGTCACTGGGAAAGTTGACACATAGGAGTCAAGAATGCACTGTCATCGTCAACAAAAGTTGATCACGTGTTAGATTTCCCACGACAATGATATAAAAGGTGGGAGCCACCGGAAGCTCAAGAGTTCGCACACGTAAGTTATAATTGGTCTTAGTGATTTCCCGTCTCCCGCACTTCCAAGAAAGGACTCGATCTAGTCCCCGGAGAAGACAATGGTAAAAGACATTGACAACGCCCAACGCTTCCATAAAGAACTGTCATCACTGCATACAGGACTCCTCCAACTTTTGAGGTAACTATCAGCAGACTGCAAACTCTCTCTCTCAAAACAGAAGTAGGCATAGCTGTTGTAGGATAGACTAAGCGGTTGTTAATCATTTTTACTTTGTAATCTTTTGTTAATCGCATTTAGCCTATATAACCTAGAGATATGCATCTAACTCTGTGTAGCCTCCTGTGTTTTAGTGTTAGCCGTATAATAAACGTTTTGTTATTTTGTTACACCTGTCTCCTATCTCTGAAAGGACGCCTGCCAACTTGCTCACCTCCCTTGCCACTCAATAAAAAGCCATCTGGAACGACAATGTAAGTGATCCTTGCAGACTGTTGCCGAGTAAGTGGACAAGAGGGATTAACCCTTGGCCCACGGTTTCTCACAATAAAATATTATAAATTTAAGAAAATTAATACAAAATATGGGCTAGAAAGCATTCAGCTAGATCCAGTATATCAGAAAATGTAAAATTCCTGCAGTGCTGATACAACATTGTGTTACTGAGTTAAGAGAATTGTAATATTAAAACGAAGTAAATTTACATGTTAATTTTTTAACTTTTTATAAGCATCTTTAATAAAAAAGGATCTTATATTATTAAACATTAGACTTACCCATCGGTAACCACTGCAACATCTTCAAAATTAGGACAATGATGATATAACCATTTAGTAAAATTATTCAGAACAACAGTAAAAGTTTCAGCACAATCAATTGTTTCCTGGATCATGAAAAAAATTGTTAACAATGTTAACAATCTATATTTTTCAGGTACAGCTTGACTACTGATATTTCAGCACACTTAATTTCAGAAACTTGCTAGATTCAGTCCAACTCCAACTGAGGTTACTTAATAATGTTTTATGTTTCCAAAGCATTACATACTATTAGAAAGTCAAATTAAGTTTTTATTAAATGTAGATTAGTGTTTGTGCTGACCACTATATTACTGATATTTCCTTACATTTAATCCTAGCACTGTGGTTTCTAAGTCAAAGAAATTAAAACGCAGGCCAAATACAAGGATTGCCACTGTCATGCTAAATAGTCCAAGTGAAGATGTACTATATACAACACCATCTGTGACTATTTAGTGTAGTAGTTGGGTAATCATGGATATTTTAAATGACTTCTATTAAATCTGTTTGAATTAAAAAAAAAAGCTGGAAAATCAGTAGTCAATTTGTACTAAATTAAAATTAGTTAATGATAACTAAAACCAATTTTATATCAAAAACTCAATTTTATAGTTTAATAAAATACTACAACTGATGTAATATTAACATAATATGATGAGATAGAATATAAGAATAACTGGATTCTAATGTTTTTAAATAATTTTACAATAAATTCTAGAACAGAAAAAAAAAACCTAAAATAATAGTGTTGAAGGCTATTAAATAAATACACAAAAAGTTGTTTTGAATGCTTTCAAATTAAATAATTTTGAAATAACTGGAAACAGTCTTCTGTGTATTTATTTTATACCTTTTAACTCCATTAAACATTCTAGGTTTTTTTTTGTTTACATTTTGTGGAGTTTCTATGGCATTGCTGGCTATAATATTGCTAAATCCTAGAGGTTTAAATTTTAAAGTGGTCCAAATGTCAATAATCATCAAAAGAGAAAAACAATACTTTTGCATATGTGAAGACATTTTATGAGTAATTTGTACAGTACAATGTGCTTAAAACAATTAAAAATGACATAATGTGACAGTAAGGAACAACATTACTTGATTTCAAGTTTGAGAAAAATATAGCTAATCACCAAACATATGCCGTAAATCCATCGGGCTAGTTTTAAGGCTAATTACTAAATAAATTACGTAATTAATTTGGCACAATTTTTCTCCCAGCGGTCAAAAAAATTAACGTCACTTGTTAAAATGTAAACATATTTGTTAGAAAAAAATGGAGAAGAAGAATTTAGATCAGAGGTCTCTGGTTATAGTAACAAGTCACTGGGAAAGTTGACACATAGGAGTCAAGAATGCACTGTCATCGTCAACAAAAGTTGATCACGTGTTAGATTTCCCACNTATTCAGTTTTTAACAGAGATTATTGTTTATATGGAGAAAGCACACTGAAGCAATTGTGAATAATTGTCATTGTGGTCATTTTAGATTAATAAGAATTATTACTCTATTGATTGTGCCATTCGTTTAAAGCTCATGGACAGAAGTCTGATCAGAAATCAAATTACAACTATACTTGTAGGGAAAAATTATAATAAAAAGACTGAACTGAAATAGAAAGAAAAAGTATATTTACTATTTTGAGACTTTACTAGTAACTTTCCAGTTACGAAAAAGCTAGAGTAAATATGTTCAGACTGATCCTACAGATGTATTGTACTCCTTAAAAAACAACATTAGAAACATTATTTCCCAGAAAAAATATTTTAATTGGAGTTATATAATTAGTTAACACCACTATAAATCAATGGTGCCCAAATTTTTGATTGGTGGACTACAAAAAAATGTGTATTCCAAGCATATAAAGAACGCCGATTTCTACCGTTTATAAGCGATGTGTCAAATATTTTGTGGGCTGGATTAACATGTGCCATCAACCAGATTTGGTCAGGGAGCTGTAGTTTGGTAAGCAATGCTATAAATCAAAGAACAAATCACTTAGATCACATTGTCTTATTTTACAGTTTTTGTAAAACTTTTCCATTTCTTAATAAATATTAAAATATTCGTTTAATTATTATAATTATTATTTAGTTGTAACACAAAAATTTATAAAGATTATTCTAATAAACTACTCAAGTTTTACAATAAAGAAAATAACTCTAGTAGACAATACATACATAATGTGTCTTTATACAATCTGTCCTTTCTCACACATATGAGGGATAAGACAATTCCACATTATGTATGTATTGTATACTAGAGAAAGTTATTTTCTTTAGTGTAAATTAAATCGTCCTGGCTTAATTTTAAAAAATACTCAAGTTTTAAAACAGATACTTACTCTAGTTGTTTTGTAGAAGTTACTATACAATTTACGCACATTAATCCACTTTTTACAAAATTCAGGTATTGGAATACTGCTGATTTCACATTGTTTAAGTAAGAAAAGTCCCATATCATAGGATCTAAATAATAATAATTATATTTTGAAAATGACAATTTGATAACAGTCTATATACCAGTAGCATCAAAAAGCTCCCAAATGTATTTTCATTTCTGGAATTGATTACATATAAAGAGATTTAAACATGCCCTTCAAAGTATGGTCCTTGAGCAACAACACTTTCATTGCTAATCCATCATAAGACTCGCTCAACATGTTTAATATTTCTGCTGGTGTCGTGTTCAGTGAAACACAAAATTTAATGTTACTGCACTGCTCCTGAAGCAATATTCTGTTGCAGAATTCCACTCTCAATGAGCAATAATGAAACCTCAGTGGATTATTCTACCACTTGTCAATAAGCATGTGCACAGTAAGGAGACTGCAATAATACCTCCTAAATGCTGCTATTTCATTATTTGTGCCTCTATGTCCTTAAATATTTCAATTTTTTGTTTATATATTATCCACATAGACCTAGTTTATAAATAGGACTTATAATACTCGTATATTTATAAACAAGGTCTATGCTGCTATTTAATTTTTATTTATTTGATTAACGTGCTACATTGTCCTGAGAATTTCCAAGAACTTTTTGAGGCTACTAGTATTTTTACAAAACAAATTAGCAATATACCGTAAAGACTATTACATATATACAATATATTGTTTATTTTGTATACACTTTTAGTACACATATAATTGTAATAGGCACAATGTTAATAAATTAAAAACAGCAGGTTGTGTTTTCTGTTAATATTTTATCTTAAACAACAACTAAGGTATTAGGAAAAAAATATGCACATTCATTACAAAGTATAATTTATTCAATATTTAATGCAAAATAATAAGACAGTGTGAAAACATAATGTAATGACAACAAATCTGTAAAAGGTCATCAGTACCTAAATGGACTGATGACCTCATTCAGCAGATTGGAAAACCCTAGAATAAACTCCTGACATGAAGTTTGACCAAAAGCTGTTTGGAACTTTGGCCAATTTTTCTTCATCTTGTTAATCAACCAATGGCTTGATTTTACATGCCATATATTAGCATAGACTAGTCCTTTATAATAAGCCCAAAAGTTTGTTCAATTCACCTAAGTTGGAGTACATTTGAGGAATGCTCTTTGGACACAACATTGATGTTGGACTCAATCAGCTTTGCTTGAATCTGATATGCACATTGAGCAGAGGCTAGATCAAGCCAAAAAATGTACTGTACCCTTCATTGTTTATGTAGGGCTTTTGCATGTAAGAGACTGATTTCTTTACAATGCATTCAGTTACATAAACATCTGGTTTATTACCCATTTTTACTGAAAAATGGTTCTGATGGTCTCTTTGGCTTGACTGTAATCAGACCATCAAATTTTGCCTTGCAGTGAAATCTTTTCTTGTCATTAGTTACTTTTCTCTTCTTCCTTCTTTACAAAATAAGTAATAAGATGAGAAGGCAGCAAAGGCCAGAAATTCTTGTCACCTTTTCTTACATCAAGTGTAAAAAGAGCAGCTCTCTGATGCCTTTGAAGAGAATGGAAAATTCTCTTCAAAGGCATCAGAGAGCTGCTCTTTTTGCTGTTTTTGACCTCACTTCATTTCTGATTCAGATTTTTGTCTTCTCACTATATATCCCATGTCAATATGATTCTTTCATAGTTTTATCTGATACTCCATGAACACCTTTTAGCCAATGAGTTAAAACTAAAACCAACCTTAGTATCGAGGGCATGCTTCAGGCTGCACTTTTCTTTGTTGTTCAATTATACTGTACTTTTGGTAAATCTAACTAAACTTTCTACTGCTATCATAACCTTTCCTTAAAGTTCAAAATATCCAGAGAAGACTCAATCAGCTAGCCTCCTTGTCTTGTTTACTAATCAGTGCCCTGATTTGCTAGAAAGGCACCTTATGACCTGAATTTAATAGTCAGTCTTTTATTTTCCACATATATACCAGCAAATGAGTCTGTATTGTCCCAATACAGTATAAAGTTCTTCTCTCTCCCTCTTCAAAATCCAGACAAGGCTTTCTGCTGTATTTTTAATTCTCTTGCTCCTTCTAGCAGTCTGGTCGAAGCTCTTGTTGTATTTTCATCTTTTGTTCCTCTTCTTAAGAAATTTTCTAGGCCTAATGATTATCGAACCTTAAGCTGGGCTAGTAGCATAACTTCAGGACCGCCCATTTTGGATTCCTGCCAAACCTGCTAATATTTCTCCAATTCTTCCAAATCGCATTGTCTTTCAGACAACTTTGTTAGACATCTTGACACTTAGTCAATCCAGGATCTTATAAACCTAGCTCTACTTGAAATCAAGTCACAAACATCTAATTTGTCTACAGGTCAAAATGGTGCTAATTTTTACATGTCTAGACAAAACTCATGAAAAATCTCTAATTTTTGCCAACTGCCTTTCTATTTATCTCCAATCATTGTGATCAACTGTGATACAGTTTTATATGAATAAATAGTGTTTGTGACTAATGACAATGAGTCATTTTTGTTTGTTCTATATCAAGGGTGGCAATCTAGTGGCACATCGGAAGAAATCATCTGGCAAGTAACGATAATCATACAATTTAAATTTATCACCTGTCTTCTTCATCCATTTTTCTGGTTTGACGCCTGATCATCCTTTTTCAATCAGCTCTTTTACATTTATTCTAATTAAAGCATAGTCACTTCATTTCTTTGAATATAGTTACTCAAAATCTAAAACTTTGGTATGCATAAACATTTTTAAAGTTAAATATGCTTACTATATGGCATGAGGACTCGAAAAGATTTGCCATACCTGCTCTTTATATTCAGTTTCATTTTAGATGCTATTTCCATGATTGGGAATACCTTGGTGTAAATTTCAGGAGTAATTGTGGCACATTTTTCTAAGTGCTTTCCAAAGTCTGGTCAGCAATTTTAACTGTACAGAAAGAAGCCATGCCATCATTCACAGATTTTGTCATAATCCTTGGTATACACTATCTAATTCTTTTTCCAGTAAGGGAGCCAAAACCCTTCACATATGGCATTGGTATCAACTTTGGCATTTTGGGTATTTTGACTAATGGTACAGTACCATAATCTGTTATTGCAAAATCACCATTAACTTTACTGAGAACACTTTCTTTGGGCAAAAATTTTTCTGCCTTCTTTACAGTCTTGCAATAACAAGTTTTTCTGACACTGTTGCAAGTCTTGTACAAAGAACTGTAAGCTTGCTGACCCTAGTGGAGATCGGGGACTTAAAATCCCACATCAAGGAAAACCTAGGGGCTGTTCATATGTCAGTGATGGTGCTGGAGGCAGAGATACCACATATCCTTACAAAAACCTTTTATTATAGTAGATAATTGCTTATACGGGTGTTGACAGGAAGTTCATTGTTGAGAAGTTGTTCGATAGTTCGTCACAGTCTGTAGGTGGTAAAGAGTTTGGTATGTTGGTTGATTCCTGTGCTGAGGGTTCGTGATGACTCTGGGGCAGAGACAATGATGATGAAGTGGTCGATCCTGTTGCATGTTCGTTGAAGTTGGGTGGCAACGTTGAGGTTGAGTTACAACAGGAATGTCCAAGGCAGAAGCGACAGATTTATCATGCATAACAATGGACAAAGATCGCTGTTTTGACCTTGAGATTTGAGGTTTTTATAGTTTTCTCCCTTGAATCTCATCTTTTGATTGGTTCTAGTTCCCTTGTCTTGTTTCCCGATTGGTCTCTCCGATGTCTCCAGACAAAAACCAAGATCAGTTTTGAAGAGTCTATTTGATACCATTCTTTGACTCTGACTGGGAGATGTTGATGGAACTATGAAACCTGTGCTTGTATTTTACTCCATTATCGCTTCTTCTCTGACATTTTAGAATTCCAACAATCTAGCATGATGTCCTTTGACCATCAACTCTTCCCCTCTTTCTGATTTTCTAATTTAGGTTAATTGTATATGAGCGCCCCTGTCAAAGTCCCATCTTTCTGGTTCAACATTTATCTATGATCTATCATGTGCACAAGTCTCTGAGACTCCTTGTTTATCTCTACATTGTGTTTGTTTTGACAACAACAGTTTTGTTGTTGTCAAAACAACAAAACAACTTGTTTTGTAGATAACAAGTTGGTTTTCCATCTTGTTATCTAGCCTAATTCATTGTGAATCAAATGGTTAAAGGTAGAAACATTCAGATTTAACTGCTTGATCATTTCACTTTGGTTAGAAGAAATGTCTTTGAAGATCATTTTCTTCAGGCTTTGCCAAAAATGTAGAGTCACTTTCTTTTGACACTCTTATGTTGTTATAGATAGTCTAACTTGCAGACCCAACTCCATTGATTATTAATTGCACCCACACTGATGTATTCACTATCTCTGTGAAGTGTCTTCTGGAACACTGTAATACTTGCATCACCTTTCAGTAAAGTTCAAAACATGATGTTCTACATCTATATTAAATTTTGAACCTCTATTTTTGTTTGAGAGAAGTCCACTCTATAAATAACTTTAAATAGAGTTACTGAATAAAATAATTCATCAAAATTTTGAAGTGAAATTATAACTACAAGCTTAGACAAGTTGCAATATATTTTGCATTCAGTAAATGTCTTCTCTACATATTTGATATTGGCTAAAAGCTAACAACTGTATTTTAATCTGCAAATTCATTCATTTGGATTTGTGCATGTGTCACAAATCAAAGAATCAATTTCAAATTTGTGCACATTTCCTCTCCAAATTCATTATATCAATTGAATTGTTTTAATATTTTGGTAAAATGTGATGTTCTATAACAGTTGGAGTATTTGTGACATAAATATAATGATATTTAGTGCAAAACACTAAAAAAGGCCAGTCTTGAATCACATATGCTTAATCAAAAGATTTCTTAATTTAAAAATACTTCAAAGGGCTCTATTTTTATTATATTGGGTTGTTTGAAAAGTAATTTTGTTTTTTGTTTTTTTTTTACCACTAGACAGATTGGTTGTATTTTTCCTGCCATTTTCATTCTAAACCGTATTATCATTATATATTTTGACAGCTAGCATTTTAAGGCTTATTTGTAAAAACTTGTGTAAAAATTTTTTGTGTCCCATCAAACATGGAAGATTGAAAGCAGCATTTTCGGCATATTTTGCTCCTTATTACCAAAAAGGTAAGAATGCTGTTCAAACGAGGAAAAAATTGTGAGATGTGTATGGAGAAGATGTATTGACAGAACGACAGTGCCAAAGCTGATTTACAAAATTTTGTTCTGGCAATTTCAATATTGAAGATACACCACATTCTGGATGGCCATTTGAAGCCAATGAAAACAAAATAAAGGTACTGATTGAAGCAAACTGCCGAATAACATGTGGAATCACTAAGAGATTAAATTTATCAAATTGAACTGTTTATGATTACTTGAAACAAACTGATTTCGTTTCAAAGCTCGATACATGAGTTCCACATGTTCTTAAAGAGAGATGCTTTCTTTGGTGGGATTTTAAGGAAAGTTTTTTTTGGAGTTTTTACCAGACAATTCAACAATTGATTCAAAAGTGTACTGCCATGAAGTAAACAAACTGAGTAATATCATCAAACAGAAAATGCGGCCAGAATTGATCAACAAAACAGGTGTAGTGTTTTACCACGATAATGTCAAATTTCACACAAGTTTGGTAACTTGTCAGAAACTGTTATAACTTAGATGGGACTGGCTATCACACCAACCATATTTGCCAGATCGAGCACACTCAGATTATTATTTGTTCTGGTCTATACAAATTTTTTTTAACTGTAAGACATTTGCTTGAAATGACAATGTCAAAAATCACTTGGATCAGTTTTTTGTAAGCAATGATCAAAACTTTTATGAATGTGAAATCATGCTACTACCAGAAACAATGACAACAGGTATTTGACCAAAATGGTTAATATATAATTCAATAAAATATTTATTTATTATAAAAATAGTGTGTTTTTTCCACGGAAAAAAACAAAATTACTTTCCAAACAACCCAATATTATATGGATTTGTCTTAAGGTTTTATTAAAAAACTATTATAATTCAAGATGAATATATTTCAACAATGTATCTCATTAAAGTAAGTCATATTGTTACAGAATAAGTTCAGATCCCTTGAAGGATCAAAAATATAATCTTTCTATATGGATATTTAATTTCTTTGGATGGATAAGTAGTTATATACACTAATTCATATTTTGAGATTTATACATTAACCACTTTGCAGTGATCGACAGATATACCCGTCAAGGGTGATCACGTGGCACTGGGGAATGATGTCAATATCTGCAAAAACATTTTAGCCAAAAATAACCGTGAAAAAAAATTCACATAAAAAGGAATTACGTGACAATAAAGAAAGATTTTTTCTTTACTAGACTTAACTGTTTAAAAAATTTTTTTCCGAAATGGAAATGAGAAAAACGTGTGGGAAAATTCTTAAAAAATTTCCATGTTTATTCTCCACTACATTGTGATAGTGCCATATCTGATTAACCCTCTCTACAAAGGTTAATTACAATAATAATAAAAATTTTCAAGATAATAACCTTATTATTACATGCAAATAATAAGACCTTTTGAACTTATCTGTATAAAATGATGTGCGCCCACGGATTTTTACGGGGCTCTTAAAATCAAAAAAATTAACGTCAATTGTTAAAATGTAAACATATTTGTTAGAAAAAAATGGAGAAGAAGAATTTAGATCAGAGGTCTCTGGTTATAGTAACAAGTCACTGGGAAAGTTGACACATAGGAGTCAAGAATGCACTGTCATCGTCAACAAAAGTTGATCACGTGTTAGATTTCCCACGACAATGATATAAAAGGTGGGAGCCACCGGAAGCTCAAGAGTTCGCACACGTAAGTTATAATTGGTCTTAGTGATTTCCCGTCTCCCGCACTTCCAAGAAAGGACTCGATCTAGTCCCCGGAGAAGACAATGGTAAAAGACATTGACAACGCCCAACACTTCCATAAAGAACTGTCATCACTGCATACAGGACTCCTCCAACTTTTGAGGTAACTATCAGCAGACTGCAAACTCTCTCTCTCAAAACAGAAGTAGGCATAGCTGTTGTAGGATAGACTAAGCGGTTGTTAATCATTTTTACTTTGTAATCTTTTGTTAATCGCATTTAGCCTATATAACCTAGAGATATGCATCTAACTCTGTGTAGCCTCCTGTGTTTTAGTGTTAGCCGTATAATAAACGTTTTGTTATTTTGTTACACCTGTCTCCTATCTCTGAAAGGACGCCTGCCAACTTGCTCACCTCCCTTGCCACTCAATAAAAAGCCATCTGGAACGACAATGTAAGTGATCCTTGCAGACTGTTGCCGAGTAAGTGGACAAGAGGGATTAACCCTTGGCCCACGGTTTCTCACAATAAAATATTATAAATTTAAGAAAATTAATACAAAATATGGGCTAGAAAGCATTCAGCTAGATCCAGTATATCAGAAAATGTAAAATTCCTGCAGTGCTGATACAACATTGTGTTACTGAGTTAAGAGAATTGTAATATTAAAACGAAGTAAATTTACATGTTAATTTTTTAACTTTTTATAAGCATCTTTAATAAAAAAGGATCTTATATTATTAAACATTAGACTTACCCATCGGTAACCACTGCAACATCTTCAAAATTAGGACAATGATGATATAACCATTTAGTAAAATTATTCAGAACAACAGTAAAAGTTTCAGCACAATCAATTGTTTCCTGGATCATGAAAAAAATTGTTAACAATGTTAACAATCTATATTTTTCAGGTACAGCTTGACTACTGATATTTCAGCACACTTAATTTCAGAAACTTGCTAGATTCAGTCCAACTCCAACTGAGGTTACTTAATAATGTTTTATGTTTCCAAAGCATTACATACTATTAGAAAGTCAAATTAAGTTTTTATTAAATGTAGATTAGTGTTTGTGCTGACCACTATATTACTGATATTTCCTTACATTTAATCCTAGCACTGTGGTTTCTAAGTCAAAGAAATTAAAACGCAGGCCAAATACAAGGATTGCCACTGTCATGCTAAATAGTCCAAGTGAAGATGTACTATATACAACACCATCTGTGACTATTTAGTGTAGTAGTTGGGTAATCATGGATATTTTAAATGACTTCTATTAAATCTGTTTGAATTAAAAAAAAAAGCTGGAAAATCAGTAGTCAATTTGTACTAAATTAAAATTAGTTAATGATAACTAAAACCAATTTTATATCAAAAACTCAATTTTATAGTTTAATAAAATACTACAACTGATGTAATATTAACATAATATGATGAGATAGAATATAAGAATAACTGGATTCTAATGTTTTTAAATAATTTTACAATAAATTCTAGAACAGAAAAAAAAAACCTAAAATAATAGTGTTGAAGGCTATTAAATAAATACACAAAAAGTTGTTTTGAATGCTTTCAAATTAAATAATTTTGAAATAACTGGAAACAGTCTTCTGTGTATTTATTTTATACCTTTTAACTCCATTAAACATTCTAGGTTTTTTTTGTTTACATTTTGTGGAGTTTCTATGGCATTGCTGGCTATAATATTGCTAAATCCTAGAGGTTTAAATTTTAAAGTGGTCCAAATGTCAATAATCATCAAAAGAGAAAAACAATACTTTTGCATATGTGAAGACATTTTATGAGTAATTTGTACAGTACAATGTGCTTAAAACAATTAAAAATGACATAATGTGACAGTAAGGAACAACATTACTTGATTTCAAGTTTGAGAAAAATATAGCTAATCACCAAACATATGCCGTAAATCCATCGGGCTAGTTTTAAGGCTAATTACTAAATAAATTACGTAATTAATTTGGCACAATTTTTCTCCCAGCGGTTCTAAATTATTTAAATTAATTAATTTATTTATAATTATTAATATTAATAAGAGATGGCGCCTAACGCTTACCTCTAGTGCCAAATTAATTACGTAATTTATTTAGTAATTAGCCTTAAAACTAGCCCGATGGATTTACGGCATACGTTTGGTGATTAGCTATATTACATCGGGTTTAGCGATGTTTATATATGAGAAAAATATTTTTATTATATTTATACAAGGTTGAAACCTTTAGTCTTGTGAAATCCACAGTTGTCAGTAGTCATATCCAAGCTTTTTTTCTGGTATGGTGCATATTTACAGTATACACGTACTGCTGTACAGTACATATGGTGTTCAGCTTAATGTAATACAAAGATCACTGGAAATCCATGCTAATACAGAAAATTTTGAATGATATTCTCTCACAATGTTTAATGCTGAATACAAATGTGCCCCCAACAATTTGTTAGGTACAGTACAACATACAATAAGCTCTTTTTGAAATGGGAAAGGGGCATTATTACATACAAACAAAAGTGAAATAAATGTTAATTCCTTGTTCCTTATTAGTCAAATAAAATTAAAATACCTGATTAGAACTTATTTTATTTTATTACAATTTTTAACATCTGCTTTGTTTACATCTGTTTGACATTTCTTGAACACTCAGACTCCATCATCAGTTTGACTCAAACTTTCTTTACACAGATGATAAAGTGAATCCGATTGGAACTGCTAATATTGAAGGTATTAAAAGTTCATTCACTTGTAGCTTCAACACTTATGCAGAATTTTTTGCAGAAATTTTATGACCCAAGAGAAAGTGGATATGGTGGAGGTGTATCTGGAATATGGAAGGAAACTGTTGAAGATTTTCACATCAGAATTATCCATATTTCAGTACTTTGTCACAGATGTTTCACCATTTCTGGCAATCTGGTTTGGTTCTTCACACCACTCCACAATGATATCTAAACACTGTACATTTGACACTGAACTAGATACTTCACTTATGTTTAAGAGAATACAACTAGTTTGATTGGTGAGATAACTTTAGTACTAGGAATTTCCAAAACCATAGTTTCGGAAGTATTAAAGATAAACAAAATGTATCTGTACAGGGCACACATTGTGCATGGATTGAGGAAAACCAATGGAAACCACTGTCAACAGTTCTTTACCCACGTGAGTGTGGTGCATGCTGAAACTCCTGTATCAGTATTGGGCAGAGCAGAACCAACACATTACTTAATACTGCCTGCCATTAGGTTGTGCATTTTGTTAATGTGTTAAACAAGCTTTCTTTAAAAAATTTACAATCTTTATTAAAAACTTGCCAATATACGAATAAAATCAAGTGCAATATTTAAAAGATAGCAACTAATTTATTACATTTTATTATGAGATAAAAATTATTGCAGTGATCAGGTAAAAGTACAGAAATAAACTGAGAAAGTAAAGAAAAGAGTGAAATTGTTCAAACATAACAGTTGAACAGAAGTTATAAATAATAAATTATAAAAACAGTAGTATCAAAGCATGATTATAGTCGGCTGAGTAATAGAAAGCAACAAATGAGCAAAAATTTTAAAGATAAGGATACATAATAAAAATGAAAATAATTCAAAGAAAACTATGAATATATCTAATAAAATTAGAAATGAAAAAAAAAAATCAAAAACAAATAAGAAAAGTCTAAAGTTTATAAAATGCTTTCCTATCAACCAGGTGTTGTCATTGCTTTCAGACTTTAGCCTCTAAAACTGTCATTGTATTTTGTTTTATAAATTAATCTTTGTAATTAATAGAGTTTATTTAAACATGTTTAGGTACAAATTATTAAACTTTTTTAACCATAGGTAAGCAATCATTCATATAAACAACAAACAAAATATGGCAATATCTCAGTACTCAAATTGTTCCCAACTCTAACAATTTGATATTCAAACAAATTCTGGGAAAAATGCTTGTGATGTAACTGAACAAACACGACTCGCTAGAACAAATTTTCAATTAATAACATATTTCTATTTTGTCATCCATAAAATTTTTTTATGATATAAATAAAACAAACTAAGACATTGCTGACATTTCTGATTGAGACCAACAAAAAAGCTGAGAAGACGATAATACATTGTAAAAAGAAAACGCCCTCATTTAACTTGTTTGAGGTTTAGATTATAATACAATAAAATCTCCATTTACCATCATCATTTGTTCATCCCTGAAACTGACAGTAAACTGACTTTGGCACTAAAATGAAGTGTATATGAATTATCTGTAGTAATGAAGCCTATACACAAGTGTAAGGTTGAAAGATTGAATCATTACAATTTGGTGATAGCAATATCTTCTGCAATGCAAATTCATGATTCAGTAACTTCCAGATACTAAAAGTTTCTCTACTTAATATTTGAGGAAGATCTGTTCATGAATATTCATTGTTGCTTTATCAGAATTGTGCTAATTTAGGGGTCACTACATCATGGTTTAATTGTATAAAATTATAATAAGTTTTTTTAACTCTGAAATATAGCAAGAGTGCTAAAATATTAAAAAAAAAAGTCATAAAATAATGAAAATTTTATACCACAAGTGCAGAGAATGTTTAAAATCTGTTTTTCTATTATTGCTAGCTAGAGAAAATTTCATACTTTTAAACTTGTCTAAGAAACCATCATAAATTAATAATTCATTCTTATATAAATAATTTTAATTTTTTCACTCTGTTTTGTAGGCACTAAGAAAGTCTGTTGTAAACTGTATTGTGTGTTTGCCAAGCCTGCATTAGATTTGTCAACTGTTGAGGTATGAGAGGTATATATATATCTGGATCATTCAATCCATAAAAACTTCTGGGCTGATCCAGACTAGAACCCAAGTCCTGCACAATGGCAAAATGGTGTCTTTACTGCCTTTACTAGTTGGCCATCTATCTTTGTAACTAAACATTTAGCTTATTTTTTACAATCCCACAACCTCCCTTACATCACAAGCCATTTCTGATCTATGTAGAAGACCAAGGTAAAAAGAAGGTAATGTGCGTGAACAAGAGTACTTCCAAGCTTTCCTGGTGAGATCATGTGACAGCATCCTAACTATGTATACAGCAAATTTTCGTAAAATGAACAAAACACCTAATCTAACATATATACAGTACTTAAACTGTGAATAAGTAAAAAAAAAAAGCAAGTAAAAATAACATAGTTGATTAAAACAACAAAACACTCAAAATACACTTACTGCTTTCACTCATGACCATTCATCAATCCAGAATCGACTTCTTCAGCCTTCCTATTTTTACTTTTTGGTGCTGCAGGCACACTTTCTGGCTCCTTCCAAACTGGTTCCCTTCCATAATTAGGGTACACATTTACTATATGCTTTAATATAATGTTGAATCTTTTGTCTGGACAAATTTCAGACCATTTCAACAACTTCTTGTATATAAAAGAATACAAATAGGAGTTGAAAAGTTCTTCAACAAATTTCTTTGGAACATTTTTACAGTCCTTTAAATACAACCACCAATCTTCTATCCTTTGAGTATGAACTCCAATTTCAGGATCAAATGCTTGGCATATTTGACTGTTTTATGGTCAATTTCATGATCCTTCAAATCATCTATGTGTAAATATCCTTTCCACTTGTCTGTGTAAATCATTGTCCCAGAATAAACAACTTATATACAATCCAATTTAATGTCTTTTCAGACCTAACATTAACATGAGTGACAAAGCAGGCACCGTCCTCTTGACAAACACCACCTACAATGCAATGAATTCCTTTCATTTTCCTACCATTCTCACACAACATTTATCTTGCAACATAAATTTTGGTCATAATTGTCAATTTAGTTTACCAGCATCATTAACGTACAATTATTGAAAGTGGTAATCATGATTTCATCTTTTACAGTATTAGGCTAGTGCTTTTTGGTGCAGTCAAAATGATAGAAATCTGGTAAAATAAAAAAATGTGATAAATAACATACTGAAATCTGTGACACAACTCATGAATTTATGGAAAAAAAACTGATTACAGACATTTTTCACTAATAATGTAAGACCACATCTTTAAAGAAACTTGTGGCTTTTTTTCACTTGCCATCATTGTACATAAAAATGTAAAAAAACACACACACACACACAGTGAACTCCCATATAATGCACTCCCTTATAACATGAATTCATATAATGTGATGAAAATTTTGCAACTAAAACTCATACAGAATGATAAACAGTCCTGTATAACGCATAAAATAAATTTAACATTTTCACAGTTTCAGATTTTTTGTTTAGAAAAGCAAAAATATACACTTAACAGTTGCTTATATATGAACAGTGAAGTGAATAGTTTAAAAAAATTTTTTTGTTGTAAATAATTGACCTCCAGTACAAAACAATTATAAAATCAAGTTTTAAACATTTCACATATAATCCATGTTTTTTTATTAGCTCTCCAGTGAACAGGAAAAGCATTGATTTGTCTGTGTTTTTTTATTACATATGGATTTAATGTACGATTAATTAAAATTGGTTTAATTATGTTCTCCAGCTGCATTAGAACACAAAAGTAAAGTTATCTTGTCTTTTAATGCCTTGAAACAAGAAGTGAAAGTCTCATCTTTCGCAATATATGTTCTGTCGGGCATTTTTTTCCAATACGAAGCAAATTCATCAACGTTATAGACCTGTTCTTCTATATAATTGCCTTTCTCTAAAATTTTGGAAAAATGTTTGGAAATCTTTGACCCTTTGCAATAACAGTTAAAATTTAGTGACATGTTTGAATTTGCATAAATTGGTCCAATAATGTACGTCCCCTATAATGCCATTTTCTACAACATGGAACATAACCCCAGTGTTGCACAGGAGTACTTAATAAACACTGTACTACACAGTATTTATTAAGTACACAATAGCACTAGGTTTAAAAAAAATGAAAAAATAAAAGTAATAAATAAAAGACTTCTAAAAACCCTTTAAGAATAAGGTAAGTACTGAAAATAATATGAATACACTTGAAGACTGCAATATTAGCAAATGCTGTAAAGAGAAGTACATACATCTGTATGTATGCAATACAATTGAACATTGTAGATGTTTACTAGCATAAACGATACATGTTCTGAAGAGTGAATACGGACTATCAGTGTTGTGGCTGCTACTTGTGTTAACAGTTTGTTCAATAAACAATAAATTTTGGTTATTTTTTACAATCCTACAACCTCCTATACATTATACTTCTGCATTTTGTACAAGATCTGTAACTTTCTCATAACCGTGAAAGTTATGAGTTGTCTTAAATTTGCATATAGATATGTTGATTATACAAATTGGTTGGTGCATGCTTAGCAGTATAATTTGATTGCATTTTAATTTATTTTTCAATGGAGTTTACACTGTACATGTGAAATTGAAGTTTCTATCCTTGATTTTTTTCAAAGTAAATTATGGTTATGAATATCTGTCAGCATACTACCATCATCTTGTTATGATGTTGCATGGTGAATATAAGAAATTAAGCTTGGATGGGAGGATTTTTTTGGATGTGAAAATGGATCTTTGCCGTCTGGTAGTATTTGTCAGAAGTGTATAATACAAAACTGTCCTTGAAGCCACAAGTTGATCTGAAATGTCCTATTTATCCTTGTTCTAAGTGCAAGATTATTTTGCATGCACTTTTGTGCATGCAAAAGAATCTTAGTGGCAATATGAGTCAGTAGATGATTTTTCTTTTTATTTGACATTTGTATTTTGTGGAGTTTATAGTTTGAGTAACACTTGTAAAGCTGTAGGTATTAGCTGCAGGACTGGTGTAGATTGGGCAAATGGTATGTCAAAAGATATGTCATAATGGCTGCTCTCCATAATTTGGTCAGTATGAAAATAGGTGTATTAGGTAAGACTGTTGAAATTGATAGACAGTACAATAAAATATAATATTTACAGATTTAATTATGTTGAACTGAAACATTTTTACATTAAGATGCATATTAAATTGCAGGAAATTGAAAATAAATTCATTATAATGACATTTTACTGTATTTTTATTTAACTTAACATATTGCTAATAAAAGTAAAGTAGACCTCCATTTTACAATCCTCAGCTTGGGGTTTATAAATTTATACCATTAGTATAACAAAAGAGTTATCACTTCTGCTATAATTTATTGAAAATATAACATTTTTCCCAAATATATCACAGATTTGAGAAAATTTGATCCAACCACTTAATGAGATGACTGGATGATTAAAAATGGGAAATTTTTTATAAGTTATGTGGTACAGATATGAATCAAACCACTTATGAAAATACCTGAACATCTGACCTGGATTAAAACTTAGGTGTTTCAGAATGACAGGAAAACATATTGGCTGCTTTGGTCATCCATTAATCAATCATCTTGTTATGATACCAGTAGATCCTGGAGGCGATAACACTGATCACCTCTGTTAAAGTTTTTATTACTAACGTAAACATCGTTACCTTTTAAATAATGTGTTTATATTTTAACATTTTTATCATTGCTTTTCAATTTTTATGTTGTAAGCTTTAAAGATTATTTTAAGCAAATATTAAAATTTTTAATACTTATTTAAAAGTAAAAATTTTTTTATATAACTATATTGTCTATTTTAGCACAGAAATTAAAAATAGCCTCCTCTAAGATTTGCTCCTAGATCTATTCCCTATGTAGTATTATACAGTTTAACATTTAGCTTATAGGAAATATAATATTTTCTTACTAATTTTCCAAGAACCAATTAAATTGTAAAAGGGGCCTACTGTATATTAAATTTACCTGTGATATTTTTGTTAACAATTTACAAAATTCAGTTAGCAGTGGGTTCAACGTGGGTCGACAATATTCGTGAAATGTAGATATCTAAAAGAAAAATTTTAGCAATAAATAAAATGTTAACTTTTTATTAGATGCTACATAAATTACATCTAACATAATCATCTTTATTCAATGGTAAAATTCAATGATTTTATCATAAAATTTGTTTTATGATAAAATCATAAAACAAATTTTAATACAATATACTGTACAGTAGACTCCATTTATTGTAATCACTTTTATAATGATAAATAATTGATAACATTAAACATGGTAAGTAAATAAGATTACATTTAGTAAAAATTCTGATTTTAAGATTAAAAGAACACATTAAAAAACAGAAAATGTATATCTTAAAAATGTATTGATTATAATTAATTTTAATTAATAATAATCCATCCAATATATATATTTGAAGTAACAAATGCTAGCAATTTAAACTACTGTACATAGGCAAATAATGATTCTAAGAATTAATATTTAAAGCATTGATTAAGATGATAGTGATCATGTGTCATCAGTCACATGTTGAGACCACTAAATTTACATTTAGGAAAGTAGTAGCGGTCAACCCATAAGGCACAGCTAGGGTGAAAGGGTGAAAATAGAAAAGGTAAGAGTAGAAGTATATAGATCGAGGGGAAATGAAAGGAGGAAGTGGTTGAGAGGGTTGGGAACCATGTAGTGTAAAACAACATCTGTACTAATATTATAAAGAGGTAATGTTTGTATGTAAGTTTGTTTGCAGCAGGTAATCTCCGAAACTACTCATCCAATTTCAAAAATTCTTTCACCAATATTTAGAATGGAACTTTAGGGTGGAAATAGGCTGTATATTATTCCGTTAAATATTCATATAAATTAAATTATATCATCTAGGGTTAAGGCTTTTATGTCCAACAGATGGCGCTACGAGTACAATGCCCTAAGTTTGCTTTTCTGCGAGGCATTATGCTTTTCTGTGAAAATGAACTAAAGCGGATCATCATCTATCTATCTGTATAAATAAAAATGTAATGTTCATTTGTTTCTACCGATTCTTTTGAAATTTTGACACAACGCTGCATTTGAATACGCACGTGTTTTTATATAATATACATGCCGAAATCCCTCCCCCGGGAGATGGACGGGATTAAGGCTTACCATAAAGAACTCTGCTTCTATTTATACTATTTTAGATGCGGATTTTTGCGTTTTTGATTGTGTTTTAATAGGGTACGTCAACAGAATGTACACTAAGCAGGGATTTTTCGATATTCCCCCCGCGGGGGAGAGAGACAGGATTAAGGCTTACCATGAAGAACTTGGCTTCTATTATACTATTTTAGATGCGGGTTTTTGCGTTTTTGATTGCATTTAAATAGGGTATGTCAAGAGAATGTACACTAAGAAGAAATTTTTCCAAAAATCCCCCCCACAGGGGAAGTGTTATAAATTTATAATAGATACATTTCGATAATACAAAACGTTAATACGATTGGAACGGTCGATTATTTGTAATCAAAAAAAGGAATTTAACTGTTTTAACGGCCTGAAGAAGACGAAAATAATTAGCGTCGAAAGCGCTTGTCGATCTGATGACAGTCATTGGTAATTAACGCCTTTATGATAAAAAGTTTATTATATAGATACATTTTGAGCCACAACAATGCGTGGCAGGGTCTGCTAGTACAGTATACATTTTACAATGACAATAGGAAGCAAACAGTAAAATATAGTACAATGTAGAAATATACAAGGATGGGTGTATATACATGCATGATGCTACAATTGATACAGGAGTGCAAAAATTACAATTATTTAATTAAGTGATTTACAATAGTATATATTACTAAATTCGCGTACATGAACACACATCGCAACAAAAGTTTGGTGTGAAGATACAGGCAAGGGTGACTGCAGATAAACAAGAATACATAGAAAATTGCAAATGATTACAATGAGAGTTACAGGCCATTGAGAAAAGTGAGTGGACATCATTAAGAATACAAAAAAAAAAAAAAATAAAGAAATAAAATAATTAAATGATATTTACAAAGAATATAGCAGCGATGAAGACAGCACTGCGGGCATATTGAGACCAATAGCATAAAAAGACAACTTAAAAATATTTACCTGAAGATAACAATGTCTAAACTTGAAGTCTGATTATAATAAGCAAAGTTTTATAAGTATATTTTAATTTTTATGTTTGGAACATATTATCTAACTTCAGAATTAGTAACAATATTTATGATTATAATAAATGGATTCTACCTTTCTTCTCTAATAAGTGAATTCTATACAACAAAAAGCATTTGTAAAAATAATGAATAATAGAAAGTAAATACAATCATCATCATCATCATCATATAAAAAAATATTTAAGAATTTTTTTGTATTTGTACAAACTTTCTAATCTTTACAATAAAACTATTCATACTTAGTAGTAAAATAATTGCATAAAGTTTCAATATTAACAATACTTACAACTTTTCTCTCTTTAGTATCAATCAAAACAGCTGGAAATTCAATTATTTCGTGCTGATATTCGGCATTTCCGTCACAAGTGGCTTCAAAGTCGATCACACAGAAATATTTGTACGGACATTCGCATTCATCACTTTTCAAAATTTGTGCCTGCATCAGTTTTTGCTCTTTAAAAAATGTTTTAAGTCTCTTTTTTAAAATTTCATTTGTGCCTCTGTAATATAATAATCTAATAAGAACTAAAGATAAAGACAATAATTTTTTACATTTTTTTTTAGCCATTTCAAAATTTATATGTACAAAATAATGTGTAAAAATTGGCATTCATATAATGCAACAAACACTAACAAAAACATTAAAAGACTATAAATGGATTTCCAAATATTAATACAAAGGCTTCTTTAAATAAAGAAGGCAATTTCTGTAATTAAAAATTTATATTCATTATTATGTATGATGCAATGTTCTTTGGGTGTAATTTAAATTTAATTAAATTTAAAAGAAAATACATAGCTTAAAGCAAAATGTTAATACTTTAATATTAATTTAACATCAAAATTTTTTCATTTGAAGTCTATGAAAAAATCTAATATTTCATTTGCAAATAAGAGTCCAAAGCACATAGAAAAAATTTACAATAAAAAATAATATAAATAAAAATTTCTTACTGAATTCCAAGATGAAATTGTTCCAGTTTGTTTATCAACTGGTCCCTAGACATTTTGTTAATTTGTCCATTAATATGAGACAACTGTTTATAAACTGGATGATTAAATGGACCGCCGCTCGTCTCGGTACAAGATTCACTCTGTGTGGACAAGATTCCAACTGAATCTGAAAGCAATTTGACAGGACTATCGCATTTCTTCATTTTTCCACTAAAAGTTTATACTTCAACTATTCTGTAAGTGGTTTTACTGCAAATAAATTAATTATTGCAAGTTAAAATGAAAATATAAAGTAAAGGCTAATTGAAAATACATATCCTAAAATGTTTATACAAATATTTTAATAAATACAGTGAAATACAAAGAATAAGTCATCGGCAATGTTGAAAAAGCATATTTAGTTTATGAATGTTAATAAATTTAATAAGACAAAACTGACACAAAAAAATATATTCTTATATAATGAAACAAAAGATGTAAAAAGGATAGCAATTATAGAGAAATATTAAATTCTTTCATGTGCCTGATTGTGTGTGCTTCACTGTATGTAAAGATGTTTACAATTAAGAACAATTTGGGCAAATTTAAAATAAGCTTTTTCCCAACAACGAATACTCATTTATATTACATTATCATTTATATTATAGCATTTCTTTATCAATAATGATTGTTTCTCTCACTAGTAAAGTTTGTTTTTTCTTCTTACTGAGCTACACATGTGGTGTTCAGTATTATTTCAACCGCAACAACACCCTTATGAAGATCTAGTTCAAATGCAATCTTATGATGCTCTATTCAATTTTGCAGTTTGGATGTCTTATATTTTCCATATTCGATGGGACACCGAAAAAAAAAAAATTGTACAGAATCAAACAAAATTTTTTACAAATAATCCTTTAAATGTCAGCTGCCAAAATATATAATGAAAATGTGGTTTAAAATGAAATTGGCTGGTAAAAATACATCTAATTCCTCTAGTAATAAAAAAAACGAAATTACTTTTCGAACAACCCAATACATCATTCTAATCAGTAGAAAAGCTCTTTACAAGGAATATTCACTAAAGCTCTTTAGTGGTTGCAAGTATTTATTTATTGGCTATAAATACTTATTTTGTTAAAAAATCAAAAAATTTTGAAACATTTTTCTTAGAATTGATAAGTGGTGAAAACCCATAGGTACTGTACAATAGTGATGAAACTTTGTAAGAATGATGCCAGAAATCTTTCCTAGATAGGAAATGTTTGTTTTTTTCCCCTACATTGGTCTTGATTCCTTAATTACAGATGTTAATGTAAAAACAGTCACATTTGCACTACATTGCAGATTTAAAAGAGTACAAAATTTCAAGCAAGAATGATTAACTTTAAAGTTGTTTGTTTATCTGATTAAACAGAATCTTGAAAAAATTGCTGAAATTTTTCAAACCATATATTTGTAAAACACTAAGTTTGAATTTGCACTTTGTACAAATGAAAAAACAATATGTTTTTATGAAAACAGTACCTAAAAATATAAAAGTTTGAGACTAATAATTTTCAATAAAAAAAGTGCCTAGGAATTGAAGATAAAAAATGTGTGGACTAGAACCTCTCAAAAAAAGTGACCAGTGGCTTACTTTCTTCAAAACTTCAGGTCTAGCTTATAGTCAAAAACTTAGCTACTTAGAAATATTCATTTAACTCAGTGCTGATTTAACTGAATAAATGAACCGAGATGGCTAGTCAGGAAAACATTCTGCATTTGCATGGAGTCTAAAGACCTAATATAGTCCATGTACATATAAAAAAAGGGGGGGGACAAATGTAAACTCTAGTTGGGAACAATTAAGCCATTACAGATCCATCCATTTTACCTTACAAACTACTAGGCTGCATGTGCCTCTATACTTGCAAAATATACAGGGAAGCACACAGTTACAGAAAATTTTGATTATGGGAGTGTAGGGAGTGCACATACCTCTGATTTGTAGCAACTTATCTCTGAAAAAAATGGAGATGCAGAATGTGTTTTACATCTTTAGGTACTTTTTTCACAAAAACATATTCCCCTTTCTGCTTGAGAACATTTTTCAATCAGCTAGTAGAAATTAATGATCAGAAAGCAAAATTCAACAAATCTGACAACATAATGGTTAAAATATGTGCTAGTTATTTTGAGAGACCCCGATTTGACTCCATATCAGAACCTGAAAAATTTTCACAGGTGGTTAAGAGGTGCTGCAATTCGAAATGAAGAATTTGATCGTAGAATCATCATTTTACAGCTGAAGGTGTTTACTGGAAAGTAGATGAAAACAATCGTGTAACGGTTTAATTGCTGGAGTTATGGAGTTTGGGTAACACTAAGTAGTTTTTTGTTTACTTCTTGTTTATCCACTGTAATTGAAGCTGAACCCATTTTAGGCTTAACTTCAATTACCTTTAATTAGCTACACAAGAGGGATAATTAAAGTATTCCTATTCAAAGTAATCTGCAGATGATGTTAAAGACAAATGAATGGCATACAGCAGTTGAGTCATTAAATACTTTCACAAACTCAAACTTAGTAGGAATATTCTTTAGAACAAAGTAATTTAGAACAGTTCTAAAAATAGCCATTGAATAATGTTTCTTGCTACATTTTTGGAATGTTCTGACATTGTAAATGATGGCTGTCAGAAAATCCATTGATACAGTACATGTAAATGCTCCAAGAGAAATAATTATTGGGTTGTTCAGAAAGTAATTTCTTTTCTTTTTCCGTGAAAAAAAAACCAATATTTTTATAATAAATAAATATTTTATTGAATTATATATCGACCATTTTGGTCAAATACCCGTTATCATTGTTTCTGGTAATAGCATGATTTCACATTCATAAAAGTTTTGATCATTGCTTACAAAAAACTGATCCAAGTGATTTTTGACATTGTAATTTCAAGTAAATGTCTTACAGTTAAAAAAAATTTGTATAGACCAGAACAAATAATAATCTGAGTGTGCTCGATCTGGCAAATATGGTTGGTGTGATAGCCAGTCCCATCTAAGTTATAACAGTTTCTGACAAGTTACCAAACTTGTATGAAATTTGACATTATTGTGGTAAAACGATAATGTCAAATTTCTGGCCGCCTTTTCTGTTTGATGATATTACTCAATTTGTTTACTCGATGGCAGTACACTTTTGAATCAATTGTTAAATTGTCTGGTAAAAACTCCAAAAAAAAATTTCCTTAAAATCCCACCAAAGAAAGCATCTCTCTTTAAGAATGTGTGGAACCCATATATCGAGCTTTGAAACGAAACCAATTTGTTTCAAGTAATCATAAGCAGTTCAATTTGATAAATTTAATCTCTTAGTGATTTCACCTGTTGTTATTCGGCAGTTTGCTTCAATCAGTACCTTTATTTTGTTTTCATTGGCTTCAACTGGCCATCCAGAATGTGGTGCATCTTCAATATTGAAATTGCCAGAACAAAATTTTGTAAACCAGTTTTGGCACTGTCGTTCTGTCAATACATCTTCTCCATACACTTCACACAATTTTTTCCTCACCTGAACAGCATTCTTATCTTTTTTGGTAATAAAAGAGCAAAATACACTGCTTTTGATCTTCCATATTTGATGGGACACAAAAAATAAACAATTGCACAAAATCAAACAAAATTTTTTACTAATAAGCCTTAAAATGCTAGCTGTCAAAATATATAATGATTATACGGTTTAGAATTAAAATGGCGGGAAAAATATGACTAATCTGTGTAATGGTAAAAAAAAAAAAAAACAAAATTACTTTTCGAACAACCCAAAAATTTCAGAAAATCAGATGTTTCAGATTAATAGCAAGATAAAGATAATAATCAATTTGTCGACAACGGATTAAAGATGTTACCATTATCATCTCAGAGTAATCAATTGTTAAGATACAGGTTCCAGAAATGAGTATATGATGTCAAAGTAGTTGGATATGTCCCACACAACTGTGCTGCATAAACTGTAGTTCTTATCTGTACAAGCCACAGTTAACATATGCTTTCCAATCATGCAGAACCAGAGAGATTTGGTCTGACATTCAATGTTTGTATGGAAATAAACAATGCATAACCATAGAAATTCTTACAGAAAGATGAGTTTTTCATTTTCATTCAAGTGGAACTGCAAATATTCTAATTTTCATATTTAAGCTAAGAAAAATCCTTAAATGACAACAGATTCTTTTACACTCATCAAAATTTACTACATGACAAGGATTTACAGCTAAACAACAATACACAACACTGGGGTGTAGTAAAAAACATACTCTATGAATCGTTCACAGAGTACGAGATTTACAGTTAATTTTGTAATAAATCATATCTGTCAGACTAAATTATAAGTTGCTCCATAATTGCCAGAGATGAAAGAAGGCCTAACAGTTTTATTGTCTGCACTTCTGCAGGAAGGATGTAATGATTCAATCATTTTTATGCATGATAGAGTGCATTCTCCTATCAAATTGTTTGCAAAGCAACTGCCGTGACATACCGATACAATACTCAGCATTAGTTATTGAACTGATGTCAACATTTATATTTTCATTGTAATATAGTTACCAGATGTTATATTTTCCCTGTAAGCTTTACATTTTTTGTACATTTTACTGCTTAATTTTTTCTTTTGCCTGTAAGACAATTTCTTCCTGTTTTTTTCTCTCTTGCATCAATACACATCAAAAAACTTTATTTTAAAACTCCCAGAATATTGTAATTACAACTAGACTATGCTAAGTTTGTTAAAGTGCTGATATATATTAAAATTGGAAGAATTTGTTAACCTTGATGAGTTGTATGATGAATTTTTTAAGTGTAGGGGGTGTTTTATTAGTGTGTTTAAGTTATGAAAGCAATGATGCTAATAAATGGCTGTATTTTTTTCTAAAGTTTCTAAAGAAAATGTTCCAAACATAAATAAAGTCATAGGGTTTTACTAAGTATTCCAAGCTATACCACCTTTGTAGAAAGGATCCTTTCAGTAATGAAGAATAAATGGACAGATGTTAGAAACAGGAGCTGTCCAGAGCTGATCAAAGAAGAGTTACAAATTGTATATAATTTCCCTTTCACTTGTAAGCAGTTTAACCAATTTGCAAAACAAGATAAAAAATTATTTACAGCAGCTAAATCACAAAAAATATATTAAAAGGAGTAAATATCATGTAAGTTAATGTCAACAATGTTCTTTTTTTTTTTCTTGAGAAAACCCTACTGTAATGTCAACTTAAAACACATTTTTCAAACTATGTTTCTATCTCGGCAGCATTAAAAGATAGAATAATAGTGTTTGTGAAAAGCATCATTATAGATCAGTTACATTCAACTGTTGAGCTATCATCAGAATGAAAGAACACTCAGTAATTTCATTTTGGCATATAGTATGATAGTTCCTTTGTGTAGATCAACAGCATAATAAAACTTCCTAACCATACTTTACATTTACATTTCTGGTTTCTGGTACAATTAAACATATTGCAATCTCTCTGGCTTGTAATGCCAAATTCTTTCTAAAATATTTTTGAAATTTTTTCTGTCCGGTGGAAACGGGCCAACAGGAGGAAGCGGGAGCAGAAGCCACATACGGGTATACCCGGATTAACGTTACCTCCGATAACAAAGTAGCGACGTAACGAAGTCTGCAATTTCGAGTCCGTATAACTTAAAAATATTAGAATTTCAAGTTCGGTGCCAAGAAGCCATCGACCATCTAACGACAGCAACCGCTCACGTATTCAAAGTTTTAGGTGAATCCGTTTTAACAGTTTTGCGCATAATTGCAGCATCGGAGTAATTTAGTCGTCGCTCACACGTCGTAAGGCATTTTGGCACAGCATACCGCAATAAACGAGGTACAAAGAGAAGAATAAGTGGTACCAGAAGAAGAAAATAACATTCAACAGATTAGAAACTAAGCTATCCAGATGGCTCAATCGATAGGTTTCAAAAATGTGGACAAAGAGGACATAAGAAATTTCTTAAACTGAAAAAAGATGATGGCTCTTCAGCGAAAGATAGAAAAAAATTCATTAACAACAAAGCGAAAAAAAAACCAAAAAATTGAAAAGTCCCAACCAAACAAATGTTAGCAACCAAAGATTTAAAAAATTGTTTGAATGACATGAAATATGATCATGATTTAGGAAGAACTGTTATTGTTAAGCAATCAGTGTTAATTGTTAAATAAAAGAGAAAAATAAGTCAAAACATTCAACTTTAGATTCTTATTTTAAAATGTGGCAATTTTATACTTATTTGGAATGCGATATTGACATTTTATTTAATAAAACTTTTCTTTTTTCAAAAAGTCTTTCATTTTCTTTACGAACGTATCCGTATTAAAGCCGTACTATTTTTACCTCAGAGAACAAAGTTTTGCCTAACAGAATAATTTTCCAGAATGCATCCTCTTCGGTAATCGAGGTAGAAGCCAGTAATCAAATCTATAATAAAATTTTAATTACAGAAGACGACGCAATAAACCGCAGCCAGGCGAAAGCGAAATCCATAGCTCGGAATGCCAAAAAGCCAAGCTTTATTAAGTTTCAACCATTTGACGTCTCTTCAAATAGTAACAGTTACTTTTAAGTCAACGTGTATACAAGTATATATGGATGAATTACTTAAAGGTAACCTCACCAATCAAGTGATACCTGTGAAAAGCAAAACAAACTGACATTTCACTTGTTTATAAAATGTACCTGGACATATATTGTCACTTTTTAATAATTCAATTTAAATTCCACATTAGTAGCATTCTATTTTGACTTTACATCAGTTTCATCTGTTGGTTCCAACAAACTTTACAATTTTGAAACAAATATCATCAAATATTTTCTATAAATTCAATTTTTTTAGTGTAAAATATGATTAAATTTAACATAAAACGGAACATAAAGTTACCAAAACTCACCAAATCGCTCATAAAAAAACAAAACCAAATGCAAACAAAATTAATCCGTTTCCAAATAACCGCGATTCTTACAAATCTCCGCCAAGCGGTTAAAATCGGAAATTAAATTTTTTAAATGTTTTTTTTTTCTTTTAATCATCGACATTAATTAAAAATTACACATTTCTTTCTCTGGTAAAAAACGTAATAATGTTGATATTACGTTTTATTTTAATTTAGGAACTAAATATTACGTTTCTACAAAAAATATTGTATTCGGTCTCGGTTAAAAAACTATAACCACTAGANTTTGTCGAAAGTAGTAATGACAAAATTGTAATTATTTACAAAGTAAAAGTTCAATAAATACTAGTTTTAACTCGATTAGCTGATAAAAAGAACATGGTAAGGGAAAACCCTCAATCAACACTTCAATAATTTACAAGGTAACAGTTTCGAGTTTTAATTCACGACTGACCACAACACTTCAGTAGCGATTCTTACAAATCTCCGCCAAGCGGTTAAAATCGGAAATTAAATTTTTTAAATGTTTTTTTTCTTTTAATCATCGACATTAATTAAAAATTACACATTTCTTTCTCTGGTAAAAAACGTAATAATGTTGATATTACGTTTTATTTTAATTTAGGAACTAAATATTACGTTTCTACAAAAAATATTGTATTCGGTCTCGGTTAAAAAACTATAACCACTAGACGGGGCTTTCTTAAAAAACTCCGTCTAGTGGTTTAAATTCGTAATCGAGTTCTACTTTAATCAACTCGATATAAAAGATTATTCTTTTACTAGGAAATATAAATATTTATTAAATTAAAAGGATAAATTTTTCTATTTTTACTTACATTTACAGAAGGATTTTTTTTTTCATAATTTTAGAATATATTTATGTTGTAATGTCTCATATACTCCCTCTGTATGTTGAAATCAAAAGGAAAAAATCATTAAAATATTCCTTAAATAAAAATATAATAAAAGATTATAGATTTAATCATATTTTTAAAAAACTTATTGATTTAAAATAAACAATTTTGAATACGCCTTCGTCGTTACTATTGGCTGAAAATATATAACGTAGACACGACGTCATAATACGCCAGTGACGTATTTCAAGGATCTTTTTAGAAGTTTAGTTACTTATCACGTTCTTTTACGCGGAAGAATTTTTCTATTCAATTCGATATCGTTAAGAATATTTTTGGCCATTTTAATTTTTTTTTCGGAAATAAATTTAAACACTGATTTTTACCAACAAAATTAACGCATATTTTAATTTTAATAATTAAATTTATTTGTATTAAGTTTAATTATACAATTTAATTAAAAATAATTTACAATTCGCAAACACCTGCTTACAAATATTTTGTAAGCGAGGTGTTTGCGAATATCTATATACGCCCGGTGTCTGTATAAACAACCACTCCCAATACAGTAAAAGTATACTTGTAAATGTTTTGAATAATTCGTAAATAAGATAAATTTTCAACAATTAATTGGAAATATAACTATGAAACTTATCCGTAATAATACGCAATCAAATAGTTTAATTTTCTCATTCATAACACGTGGAGCTAAAATGGAGTTTTTATGCCCGTAGCTCACAAATCAATACGTATGATCTTTCTACTTCATTATTAAAATTTTGAGTCATTGAATGTTTCAAAATTGCCCTTCCATTTGTTCGAGGCATACGTAGTTTAATCGTCAGAGTAATTTGTTTAATGATATACCATGGGGCCACCAGTGGCCGAGCGGTCTTCGTACCCTAAACACTGAGAGTTCGGTCGTGGGTTCGCGCCGCGATCGGACAGGCTGGCTGCTTGGAGTTTTCTGGGTTTTCTCCTTGCCGATAACGACTAAATAGGAGGCCATAGGAGGCCAGTTCCCCATAAAAGTCCTCCCGGAAGGCATTCTTTCCCCTCGCGTACCATCGCGCCCCAGAGAAGGCAACGGGAAACCACTCTGGGTACTAACCTTCCCTAGTACACACCTTGGCGTATTATTAATCTGCGCCAGGTGTCGCCGACGTCAGTAATCTGATATGGCACGAAGAAGAAGATATACCATGGACATTTTAAGGACATCGGGAATCAATAGTTTCTGCCAGAATCAGAATGGAAATGCTCTAGTCGTGAGGAACGAGAACCAACATATCCGGATCGAATCACCCGTAGTGATTCGAACCGGAATCGAATCCGGATTTTTCTGAACTAGAGAATGACGTCTTAACTAACTCCTGCTATTTGAGGATGAAAATCTTACAAATGTTTTACGAGTTTTTCACCGAAAAACTTCTAACTTGAAACACCCATTAGGATTGTTAATCGTATCTTTTCGACCCACAGATTGAGGATTTGGCTGTTTTTTTTCGCATTTTGGATTGCCACTTGATATAACAATACGCATGCAACTTAGTGTTCGCCCGTTGGTCTAATCGTGTGAGTTTATTGTCACGTAACTCGTGTCACTACAATTTTTAACGGTATTTAATTTATGTAAAGTACTAAAAACCCTTTCCAATAGATACATATAAATTAACTTATCCTTCAAATATAATCGACTTTTCGTTTAAATCTCAATATACGTGTAAAAAGGAACGATTGCAGCTCTGTGTGAAAGGGGGAACCCCCGATTGTTTACCTCGTTGATTTCCTCCTATTTCCCAAAACATCAATGTTATATACTAAGATTACGTTCCTAGAAATACACTTTCAATTATGCGATACCACGCGGTAGCAAACAAAAATACGGCAATTCACACAATCATAATGAAAGTTCTGTGCTAGTTTTCACGATGGGTAATTTTAAAAGAAGCGGATGTAAAGCGGAACTAGTTACTTGCTAGTATTGGAGTTTGTCGAAAGTAGTAATGACAAAATTGTAATTATTTACAAAGTAAAAGTTCAATAAATACTAGTTTTAACTCGATTAGCTGATAAAAAGAACATGGTAGGGGAAAACCCTCAATCAACACTTCAATAATTTACAAGGTAACAGTTTCGAGTTTTAATTCACGACTGACCACAACACTTCAATAAGATCAGCGACCGTTGGGTATAAACTTCTAAGTTTTGGACCTCCTGGCATACTTTGTCTTCTTCTTTTACCTCTACTCCGGATGCTATGGTATTATACCTTCTCTTCTCTTTTTCTCTTCTTTTATATGGAGATTTTTATCTAATACAAAAGTAGTATTTGTAATTATCATTGGCCTCCCCAATATATATATATATACAGATTAACGCTGATGTTCGTGTGCATTTCTATATGCAACAAATTATGTACGAATCTATACGGTTTGTTGCATAAATCACTATTTACGTACAAAAATGTACGTAAAAAGAAGTTGTTATAAAATACAGTATATCTGATTTACTTTAATTAATTAATTTTTAAGAGTTTCAGAATATAAATAGTAAAGTATATGTACAAATGAGCATAAAATTAACGTGTAAAATAACATTGCTTCATATAACGTATTTTCTTACGCTTTTTTAGTTATTTATATACTCATTTTGGGGATATACGAGATATACAGCGTAGGCTATACGCACCATATACCTCGCTTTTACGACTCCGATACTGAAATTAGGCTACTCATAAATTCAGTAATTAAAACAATTATGATCCAGAAACCTTTCTCGTATTTTCAATTTATATCGTGTTAAAGTGAAAAAGAAATTAAGTTGAAATCATTTGGATACGGTCTAGAGATTACCAACATCATTTTTATCAAGAACAAATGTGATAAATTCAAAATACCTTATCAAATTGACGTTTTTCTGAGAGGAAGCAAGTAGAAAAATACAATAGACTCTCGTTATAGCACGAAGTATCAAGGTCTGATTAATCATTAATTATATCAAGAGTTTTCTCTTGATATAATTAATGATTTTCCGTATGCAATTTTATACTTTATAATAAGTTAGAATATGAAAGAATATATATAACTTAGAACATTAAAATAACATAGGTTTAAACATTTATTATTATTAATTTTTGCTAATTTTATAAGACAAACTAAAGAATTACTTTGCTTAAGTGAAGTTTAAAGTCAGATACTTTATGCACTTTAGTACCTTACTAAAGCACTTTACTGGGCCACTTCTACTGCTAGAATTTCTCAAATTGAAATTGGGAAATTAGAAATACGAAAGCAATTTCCTAAAGTAATTACGTATTAATTTAATAAGTTAATCAATTTTTAAATATTATTTTGTAATTTTTTAATATAAAAAGAAAAATCACTTAATTCAAAATTATTAATGAAGTAATATATAAATAAAAATAAATAAATTTCTATAAATTAATATTTTATTGCAGTTAATTGTTGTTTTCCAAGTAAATCGAACTGGAACTTCCTTATAAAAATTATACGCGATTAGTAAATTCCCAAAAATAAAGTTCGGTTAGGAAAAAATAATGTAAATTTTTTTTAATGGTTCCAAAAATTTTTACTCGTAATTTTCATGAAGTATTATTTATTATATAAGTTTAAATGTGATAAAATAGTTGTATATATTTATATACAAGGTGGCTCAAAAGTTAATTAATCACTATAAATACTAACGTGCTGTCTAACCTTATTACTTACAGGCTTTACAGAATGACATCCTCAATGTTCATTAAACAATAAGGATGCGTAAAGAAAGTGAGTTAATCTTTAGAATAGTTAACTTACTTTTGGCCCACCCTACGCGTGTACATACATGGATTTGTATAAGTATTATTATAAAATTATATATTGCACAATTATTGTAAAATGCCCAAATAATAAAAATTATTGCATTATAAAATAAATTTAGAATACTTTTATAATAATAATGCAATTAATTAACTATTCATTTAAAAATATAACCAAGTTCTTAATTGGTCAATTTACATAATTAAAAATTAATTATTTTGAAGAGTTATAAAAGAAACAATAAAAATTATTTTAAAAATTAATTTATTGGTTAGAAATAAATAAAAATATTTCGTAAAAGGACATTCATTCTGTAATTCTTTATAAACAGTAAATCCTTCCTTACATAAAAAAAAATCCGGTTTAACAGAAAAAAATGCACGCAGGAAAACAAGTTAGGAAGAAATATAAGGAGGAAAGATATAAAAATAATATTATTTGATGCTTGTAATAAACCAAAAAATATAATTAAACAAAACTTGAAGTAGTATTAATTAAAATCTGTAGACTGTAGTGCAGTTGTAAGATAGAAAAGATCAACAAAAGCTTGTAGTTCTAGGAGGTAGTGTCACACTGAGGTGTAACCTTGTAAAAGTTGAAGGACAGGATATTTTTCTAGCATTTTTAAAATATATTAACGTTCTCAAGGTTCGATTGTTATATAAGATATAAGACATGTCGTTTTTAACTATGCATAAACTCAACTTCTGCAGTAAATTATTGTTGGTAAGTGTATATTCGTATTTAAATTCTTTTTAATTAAACTCTGTACGTGTATATTATAATTATTCGCTTATATATATATATATATAACAGATTAATAGTAATTATAACAAAATAACTGTTATTATACTGTCTGAACAGCGCTCTTCTGTCTTCGGTAATAGCACTTTTAATAATAAGTTTGTAGAAGACTATTGTAATATATAACAATAATATATCCCTAATAATATATTACAGTGCATTAAGCATGCCTCGAAACTGTTTCCAGATTTATAACTTCTTGTTATTATTTTTTAACGATATAATAATAGTTTACGATAATATAATGCTATATACTTGATATTTTCCTGGACTTTTCATTCATTTTTATGATTTGACCTATTTTTATTTATTTTTAGTTTAATTTTTTTTAATGTACAGTCTATTTTTAGGCTAATTTTTTATATAAAATCTATTATCTAAATAATTATTTTAATTTTATTAATTATTAATTTAAAATTATGCATAAAGTAAGATCACTTGCTGCATGTTTCTGAGTAATAAAAGATATATAAGAAATAATAAAAATTAATTAAATTTATTTAACTGAACTTCTTGTGTACACGTTCCTTTCTAAGGAAGGGAGGAACTATGTTGAATTGGGTCAAAGGTGTGATGTTAGACATGACATATCTCATTGGCTGTAACATCCTTGTACAGTTCAATAGTGTTTCACGTCTGGATTTACCCTGTCATGAAATAATGTACATATAAAATTCCAAGCCACATTGTAATGAAAGAATACTTGGCTCGAATTCAGAATTCTTGTATTCATAGATTTAAAAAAATTCAATTTACTAGCCATAATATTTTCGCATGTATAATAGAACCTTTATTATTATTGATAGTGCCGTATGAATTAAAACGTTTTCTACAAAATTCTCATAAATGCCTCGTAGAATTAATATTTTATAATGTAAATAAAAGGAGTGAGTGCCACCGTCACGCGATTTCTTCACATAAATATTGCGGAAATTAGTATCCAATTTAGATAAAAGCATTATTTAATAAGTCAAAATTAATATTAACTCTTAAAACAAGTGATTTCTTAGATATATATTAATTATTTTGTGAGATAGATTAATTGATTAGATTCGTTTCAACGATAAAATATGTTACTAGTTCCGTTACTAATAGGTTTACACCTTCGTTTCCTGTACCTCCCGCTATGTTTTACTCTATGTAATTGTCCTTTAACTGTGCCAAAAAAATAATAATAAATTAGTGTGTTTCACCTTGAATTTGGAAAAACCAGGCAGAAAATACAATATGCAGTTTAGTAAATTCCATAGGAAAATCCCCAACTATATCCGTAGGTAATTTATACGCTTCGGTGAATAAGTTCGTGTTCATTTGGTGTCGAGTAAATATATTAAAATACTTTTTATATTTTAAATTTGATGTAAAATTCGTAGTCTATCATTTCGCGACATGCTACAAACCGGTAGATTCTTATAAGTGAGGCTGTTTGTAACGAAGAAGCTGGAATAGGTATTTAGAATTTCTATATATTTGTAATCAAGTGATTTAATTCATTAAAATTTTGATTTTAAAACGAATTTTTTTGGCCAAATAAATTATCATTAAGAATTTGTGAAGTTTTTCCTTTGCATCGTGACTAACGTGTACTTTTTTTTATATTTTCAGATGATTTTTAAACTGCTTCTGCAATTTGTGCTCTTCGAGCTATCGTCAGTTTTATCCTGTCCAACGATTTCATCTCATAATTGTATCTGCGACAAAATAGAAAATCCTACCTTGAGAAGCACTTGGAATTTGGCATGCTTTTCTAATAATCAAACAGGATTAGAATTGTCTGTGGTCATCGATTTTATGCCCAATCAAGAGCTTAAAGTTGAATGTGTATCAGAAAAGTTAACGCCTGATTTATTCGTCAACATTACTGGAATATCCAAATTTCAATTCTTGTACTGTCAACCCGATTATTCTATTTACGATCTTCTAAATCAACGTTCTGTTACAAAGTTAAAATATCAATCATCGAGAAACTTAGATCATTATTTATTCGACAATCTGTTGGACTTGAAAATTTTGGATATAAGTAGAAATCGCCAGAGCAACATTTCTAAAGATCTATTCGTTAAAATGACATCTTTACAAATTTTAAATATAGCAATGAATGATTTAGAAATTTTGGAGGAAGGAATTTTTGATAATTTAAGTAATTTGAGCCATTTGTTCCTTTCGTCTAACCATCTTGCCACTATATCTGAAGACGTATTTTTAGAACTTAATAATTTACAAGTACTTTCATTATCTAAGAACAAAATATCTGATATACCCGAAGGAATATTCCATAATGTAACCAGTTTAAAAGTTTTAGATTTATCACGTAATAAAATTGAGAAACTGCCGAAATATTTGATATCCACTCTCTCCAACTTGTTGAGGTTCGAGATTCGTTACAATTTAATACAAGAAATACCATTTTACTTTTTTAACAATAATCAAAAACTTGAAATTCTTGATGTTAGCGGGAATAAGCTTAATTTTCTTGCCTCTAATGTGTTAAGAAGTCTGAAAAATTTAGAAATCTTTAGAGCATCGAATAATCAAATTAAAACGCTGCCTGCTGATTTATTTTCTCATAATGCTAACTTAAGAGAAATCAAATTAAAGAAGAACTTCATACATAAACCAAATATATTATTGTTTAGCAATAATTCTCTGTTGAAAACTCTAGATTTAAGTGAGAATCATCTTGGATATCTCGAATCAAAGTTCCTTTACAAGCAATATAATCTAGAGTGGTTATCTCTTGCAAGTTGTAATATGTTACATATTGCTGAAGACTTGTTTAGATTCACTTCAAAGCTGAAATATTTAGATTTATCCGATAATAAACTGGACGAATTCAGCATGAAAGCCTTTGAACATTTACTAAACTTGGAGCACTTGAAGCTCAGGAAAAATCACATTCGATTCTTGAACACGTCTCGCCCATTTGGGGTAAGTGCATCTCTGAAAAGTGTCGATTTATCGCAGAACTATTTAACTCAAATATCAAACATCGAGTGGATTTATTATCCAGATTTAAAATCTTTAAACGTGCAATATAACAAACTTGCAAAGTTCTCTATCCCTGTTATGTATTCGAGTGATGCGAAAGTGTTTCTGCAAAATAACATCATCAATACTATTTCTATTAAAGAACTGAAATTTGCAAAAGAATTAGAGAAAGAATTAAAGAAAACGAGTGAAACTAAGTTAGTGGTACCCCTCTTTTACTTCTTCCCCAATCCTTTAACGTGTGACTGTGACATGTTTGAATTTTATAAGATGCTTAAACATGGCTTCACCGTAGACGATATGCCAGCTGCTCTGTTTCCTGTAGCATCAAATTTGCAATGCTTTAATCCACCAGAACTTAGAGGAAAGAAATTAGTTACTTTAAAAGAAGAGGAGTTCAGATGCCCAGTTGTAACGAACTGTCCACATACCTGCTATTGTTACAGACGTGGTGGGGATGGTAAAGTTATAGTTAACTGCACTTCTACGCAAATGACAAAACTTCCAGAAATGCTTCCCAAAGCAGCGACAATTATTCATTTAGAAAATAATCAAATTAGCAATTTAGAATTTAAAAACTCAATCTGGATGAACTGTACAGAGTTATATTTGGCTAACAATACTATTCAAAGTGTAGATGTTAAATTTCCTCCAAAAATTCGTAAACTATCACTTAACAATAATCTATTGACATATTTACCATTCAGTTTTATTCACTGGATAGAAAGGAATAAGGATATTTTAGTGTCATTATCTGGAAATCCTTACAGATGTAATTGTAGTATAGACATTCGTTTCGATGTACTCCACAATTTCAAGAAAATTATGGATCTAGAATCCATTTATTGTACAGATCCAGAAAATACTCCATGCTTTATGACAAGAAATATTTGTTTTAAAGTTCAACTTATTTTATTTATCTTTGCTGTGATTATTTTATCTACGTTTATATTATTTACATTTATCCAATATCGTAAACGTAGGACTAAATAATATCATCAGCCATTTTGTTAATTTAAAATAATAATTTTTATATATGAAATTATATAGAATTATTGTATATATAATAAAATGTAAAAATAAAATAAATTTTTTTAAAAAAAAGTTGGGTGGTATTATGATAAAACAAGAAAAATTTAAATAAAGTTTGGTCCAAAAATCAGTTTACCGAAACGTAAGTAAATTAATTAGCACGGCGTACTTAATAAATCCAGGATTATTATTGATATATTATTGTAAAGAAGAAAAATTTCCTTTACTTATTATCTCTAATGCGAGTTATAATACAGAATAAGCAAAAATAAGCTTGAAATTACTGGAAAATGATACAATTTTATAATTTATCATTAAAGCGAGTTAACTGTTGAATATTGTTGTTATAAAAATGATCTGGAAATTCCCATTGTAATTACTCTTCCAGTTTCTTGTAGCATGATGTGACACCGCGTGTCACAATGATAAAGACAGGATATAAACAATATTTTGAAACACTTGCCAGAGGCAAATATTTTTTAAAAAAACGTAGCTTTTGATGTAAACAAAATCAAGTTTTAAAGTGTTTGATAGATATACAATAGATAAACAACTGTTTTTTTTTATATCACAGAAATATCTGTACAAATTTTGCGTTGTATAAATTTTTATCAAATACTAATACTTTGTACAAGTCGTATTTTTTGTACAACTGTAGGGACTACAACAAAAAGTATTGTACATTTAACAACTATACAACAGTCAATATACTCACAAAAAGCTTGCGTATCGATCACCACCAAAATACATCTATATAAATCAGGGTTTCGTATACACAATGTACAGGTTTTTTTATATATATATAACACTTCGTATACTTATACATTGTATTGTATACGATAAATACCCGTTAATATGTTGTTTAGTGCATACAAGGCCTTATTTAGACATTTTTCATCGAGATGTGGAGTTTGATTTTTCTGTCTGACATCAATAGTTCATGTGAAGTGGCAATCGAGAAGGTTGACACTCGTCTCCCCATCCTCACGCCTACTTTATATTCTCTTCAACTATGAAAAAATATATATTATTATAGTTGTTTTACGTTGGTGGCGTGACTTTTCCAACTATTCAGAGGAATTTTCCAACATTGGAAATAGTTTCGTTCGTGTATAGACACAACAGATAGTTGTACCTTTAAGAATTATACCACTGTTAGGAACATTCGTAAAGGTTGAAGAACAAATACATTTTCTTAATATTTTGCTTTTAATTTATTTTTAGGAGAATTTATTTTGTCTGCAGGATATAATTTAATTTTGTGAATAAATTACATATATAAAAAAATAATTCTATTATTTTTGCCTGTTATACCTAGTTACTCGTATAGATTATAAGTAAAATTATTGTTGTAATTATAATATTTTTAATTAAAATATATACAAATAAAAATTATTTTTATATAATTTTCTTTGTAATTTTCCACCGGATTAATTTTGTATGATTTTTCTTACAGGAAATGCGATAAACATTGAAGAGTAACAAAATTCAAGATTAATTGACGTTTAAATATTAATTATTTTTCAATAAATATTGTTATTTAAATATATAAATTCTAAAAATAACTTATAATAAATATGATAATATGATAATGTTTATAAATATTTGCTTTATTAAGATTTAAATTACGTTATTTTCTGCATGGAAACCCAACGTTGCATATTATAAATGTAGCTGAAGGTGGCATTTCCTGGTCATTTGAATAAAATTTTATTACATATTAAATTTGTAAACTTATTTACGGACCACATAGTGTTTGCGAGAATTAAGAACTCGATATACGTTGAGTTCATTTTAATCTAGAATATTATTCTTGAACGAATTTTCTTTTGATGATATAATTATGTGCCAATTAATCTTTACTATTAAATATTTTGATTTGATTTCAAAATTAATAATATACTGATTTTTATTAACATACGTAATCAATAACTAAATAAAATTATTATTATAACAGTGAGTTTATTTTTCTAAGTTAACTTTTGATAAATTTTGTAATTTAATTTAGTATATTTAGTAATAGTATAAACTATTTGAAACTAATCTACTACAACATTCCTCACGTAACGTGGAAACCCTGTTGGCCCGCCTTAGAACAGGCACGGCCCCTTTAAACGGGTTACTTTATTCTAGACGCCTACGAGCCTCGCCAGACTGTCCACATTGTGGCGCTCAGGAGACGTCCCGCCCAATGTTGCCACGTCTACCGAATTTTCGGTAGATCTACCGATCTACCGATTGAAGCACCAAATCTACCGAAAAGTTTACGATAATTCGAGAAAGAAATTTTTATTTTCGATGTATCTAAATATTCTCAATAAAACATTTCTTTTTACCTTTATTTCTTATATATTGTAAGAGACTTTATTGCAAAGACTATCTCGTTTTGTTGAGAATATCTTGTGTCTGCCCCATTCTTCAGCTCAAGTAGAAAGAATATTTTCGTAAATAAATCTGTTAAACACGAAACAAAGAAATAAACTGAGCTCCGAAACAATCACTGGCTTACTTCTTACTAAACAATTAATTGGAAAAAATTACTGTTATGATTTTCCTGTAAAAGATAATTTAATTTCAAAAGTAACAGAGTGTTAAAAAGATATTGAATAATAATTATTATTATTAATATCTGAAAAATAAAAAATAATATTTTGTTAGAAAAATAAGACAAAATGTACCTATTTAATTAGTAAATTATTATTTTTTTACGTAAGAGTTCTGTGTTAGTTTTTTGTTTTTTATTGTTTTATAGTTTATAATAAAATAAACGACGAAAAAAGAATGTTATTGTTTATGTTCAACCTCCTTTCTGCCACAAAAAGTCGATTTACCGAAAACTACGAAAATTGCCTAAGGAATATACCGATGGTAACACTGGTTCCGCCATTTCTGGTTGACACGTCCGCAGTATAAGGAGGCCCGCCAAGACCTCGCCGTGCTCTGACGATAGACTTCGCAGTCGTCCAAAATTTTAACATCCATATATTGGGCGAGAACCGACCTCCCGCCTCGACAGCACGTGGAGGCCCTCGAACGCTTCGTACATCGTATACACCGCTTCGCCTAATCGCGGAACGGAGCGCATCGGAGGAAAGGCAATCCCGTCAGAATCTCCATATAAACAAAGAAAGAAAGAACTACGACAGGTAATGATTAAGCTAATTTAAAATTGTTCTGTAAAGTATGTTCTGTTCCAATAAAAATTATTTTTCAAAATTTCATTAATATCTACTTCTCATTACGGTTAATGTTACCTATGGTGCCAAAATGGCGGAATTACCGCTAATCTGGATTCGGTGCATTTGGTGAAGACTTTGACAGAGGGCGCTCTCTAATAACGCGCCGTGAAAAGTGGTTGTACAGTACGTAAATATGCAAATTAGTAGATATGACGTAGTAGATGACTGTTTCTCGTGGAAATATGCAAATCAATTGGTAGTGCGACGTTTGCGAAGGTTTGTCGTTGCCTGCTGTGTGTACTCTACGATAGTTTTCTATACGATTTTTATACAAGTTATTTAGGTGAATTTTAATCATAAATTTTTGTTAAACATTACGATAATTATTACAGTATTAATTTTTTGTTTAATAGTACTATAGCGTTAATTAATGCGTTTTGTAGACATCAGTTCTGACGAATTTTGGGTCTGTTGCACAACCCGCAAATTTTATCAGTTAATTAATTTAATGGAATCAGAATATTTGGAATTAGGTTTGGAATCAAGTATAGATAATGTGTTTAAATTTGCTGTAAAATTAGGATTACAACAAATCGATGGTGTGTGCAGTTCATGTTCAAAATTTTGTAAAAAATACTATCGAAGTGATAGAAAATCGTGTTTGTTAAGATGTAACAATTGTGGTAGAAAGTATTCTGCTTATGACGGAACTTTTAAGGGCAAATGTGGCAATATTTCATGGGGTGAAATTTTGTCTTTCATATGACATTACGTTTTTTGGAATGCACGTCGTCAAATTCGGCTGTTGCTGTTAGTATTTCAAGAAAGGCAGGCATCGATTGGTCAAACCGCATACGTTTAGTGATGCTTATAGCTATGAATAACACGACCTCGTTTAAAATCTGAGGTCCTAATAAAACCGTCGAATTAGACGAGACAGTAATATGCAAACGCAAATACGAAAAAGGGCGTCTACAAAATGGATCGTAGGAGGAATATGCAGGGAAGACGATAGTTGCTTCATTTGTCAAGTGAACGACAGATCCGAAACCACGCTAAATTGGGTTGTCTCTAAATTTGTAAATTCTGGTAGTCTAGTTATAACCGATGAATGGAAGAGATATAATCACGTAGACGATATTGAAGGGATAGGGTTAAATTCCAGATACGTATACCGTCATGGCGGCACTTCCTGTTTTGCTAGTAGCCTCGCTTCCGGCGCCGTGGCTGTTTGGAGACGAGTGGTGTCACGTGACGATGCGCGCAATTTGAATTGGACGAGTTGGTTTGCGTGTTGCGTACTTCGAATTTCTCAAAAAAATGGATTTCGACGATTTAGCGTCCAGGGATTTCTTTCGTCGCTTGGAATATCGGAATATCCGGAGTTGGGTGTCGATGTTAGGATACCTTCCGATGTAAAATTCGCTATCAAGATGGGTTTGCAACGACCGGTCGAAGCCGAGCGTGGCAAGTGCGACGGCGTTCGTACAATAAGTTACAGAAATGACGCTAGTTCGGTTTATTTCCGATGTCGCGAGTGCAACGTTAATAATACTTCTGCGTTCGAAGGTACTTTCGAGGGAAAATTTGGTACGATGTCGTCGTGGGAAACGATATTCGCTTTCGTCTGGCACCTCATTTGCATAGACGGTTCGTCGAAGTCTTCGTGTTTGGCCGTTGCGGTAAGTCGCGCTACCGGTGTCGACTGGGCTAGTTTCGTTTGGCACGCGGCGATGGTCTCTCTGTTTAATGATTTGACGAGTTTGAAAATTGGAGGCCCCGGAAAGACCGTGGAAATAGACGAGACGGTCGTAAGCAAGCGTGTTAAATACGAAAGAGGAAGGACGCCGAAAGTGACTACTAAGCGGGTTGTCGGCGGAATCTGCAGAGAAGACAAGAACCGTTTTTTGTGTTTTGTAAACGATCGCTCCGAAGCCAGTCTAAATTGGGTCGTTGGCGAGTTCGTCCGGTCCGAATCTACAATTTATAACGACCAACGGAAGGGATATAACCATATCGGCGAATTAGAAGGAATGGAGATAAAGCACGAGACCGTAAATCATTCCGAACATTTTGTGAACCCGCTGGATGGCGTACATATGCAGAGCATCGAAAGGTTGCGGGGTATTCTCAAGAACGGGAAAACCGACGACGACGGTGAGTAGAAATGCGTTTCTTTCCCCTTATTTTTAATAATTTGTTTAGAGCGATTTTTTCGATCTCTCGTTTGTTTTTTCCCCTTTTTCGTGGCGGCTTCGCTGCCGCGGCGCAGCCGCCGTCTTTTGTTCGCGGTTCGCGCTCGCGCGCATCGTCACGTCACGTGACACCACTCGTCTCCAAACAGCCACGGCGCCGGGAGCGAGGCTACTAGCAAAACAGGAAGTGCCGCCATGACGGTATACGTATCTGGAATTTAACCAAGGATGGATATTGAACATAGAACAGTTAATCATTCGAAAAACTTTGTAAACCCCAAAACGGGCGATCACACTCAAAACATTGAAAGGTTACGGGGTTATTTAAAAAATAAAAAAAATTTGCCAAAGCATTACACGGATGATCTGTCGGACTCATACATGTTTTCCTCTATGTATAAGAAGTTAATGAAATGGCCAGCTAGAACCCGGGAGAAAGATTCCAAATATTCTTAAAACACTCGAATATGATATATCCAGGTACAGGAAGAACACCGAAATGGATAGAATCAGTGTGTGTTCCCGCCGCACCAGTTTCTAATATAAAAAAGGAGAAAAAAGAAAAAAGGCCAACACAACAAAGAAAATGACTAATAAGACAAAGAAAAGATCGTCCACAGGTGCTGAGGATTAGACCTCGTTAGGGAAGAAACGTAGGGAAGAAAAAAAAGGATCACTAACGTGAGTAATAATTTCAATAATCTACTAGAATAAGTTATGTTAGTTTAGGACGCGCGGCCGCTCCGTTCGAACCATAGGTTATCGCGCAGTCTCGAGAAGAGTTCAAAACAGCGTCCGGAAATTCCGCCTTTTTGGCACCATAGGTAATAATAACCTTCATTACTTAAGTGGGAAGACAATGAGGTAGTTTGTTGAAGTTAAATTTATGAAAAAAACATTCAATGAAATACGTCAAATGTTTCCAGTCTTTTCAAAATGTCTTAATCAAGAATTGAATATTAGAATATTGCTAATAATAATATAATTTTTCTATAATTATATTAGCAATATTCCAATGATTTTTCTGTAATTATTTATAGAAGAATAGGTAGAAATTCTAAGAAGTCCGTCCACAAAAGTCGCCTCAAGTGTGATAAAATACTGTGCCTCCATTGATATCAACATACGGATACCTATCACGCCCAAGTTCTTGATTTATTCTACACCTGCCGGATACCTCCCTCCGAAGATCTGTTACCCGAACAATTTGAATAAAAGGACCCTTCAATCACCCGAAGAATCCACCGAACACCCGAAAAATCCCGTGTTTGAGTCATCGAGTCATCCTTAACTTTATAAGGTATTTATTCACACGCGAGTCGTTTGTAAACTCTCTCTCGCGACAATTAAATTTAAGAAAATATGGATCGTATATACTGTACTCCTGCCCGCTAAAATAAATATGTTATTGATTATTAATATGGAATCCGAGTGAATCACTTCTCGTTTCTCACCCGCTACCGCTCGCGTGACGTAAAGTCGCGTTTTCCGTGTCCCGAGAGACTCGATGGTGTCACATCCCGACGTGGTGTCAAAGAGACACCGACCCTACGGTCACACATTCCTTTCATCTGACAGACCCTTCCAACTCAGGCTGACTTGTGTCTACTCTTTCACTATATACTCGCATCCTTCCTGCAGTAAGCTCCAAAAATATATAGGTGCAATATCAAGACAAATAAAAGCACTTATATGGGAACATGAATTTAATATTAATAAAGGCCATACACGTACAGAACTTGCAAAATGTGTTTTAGAAGACTGATGTACTCCACTTTGAGAGAAAGTCATAATGTTAGTGTCTCTCCAACCCAAAATAAATTTTCATTTGAGAAACATTACTAATAAGAAAAAAGAAAACATAATCCAATTAATCAGACCATATTTTATCCACTGAATCATGGGTTAAACATACATAACTCAATTCTTTAGAAATTTTACACAATCCTTAAAATTTTTGCACAGGTTATTTTTATTCTTATATTGGTTAAAAAAAAGCTACCTAATTAGTTCTTTTTAATTTTGCTTGACAATCAAGAATTTCAAATTGAATCTATAATAAACAAATTCACACCTTTCTCACAATTTCCAGCGGTGACTGTTTATTAAACAGTTATTGCTGAAAATTGTCAGAGAGGTGTGAATATCCTTATATGATAGCGCTAGCTTACAGAATTAATAAATTTAATCTATTCTGAATATTTTTTTATGTTTTAAAATTCAGTTGCTGGTGGTGAGATTTTGAAGATGTTGAAAACATTTGTAGTTTATTAAATGTGTAAAGTTACCGGTTTTTCCAACACCGGTAACTGAACCAGTTACCGGTGTTGGAAAAAAGAGGAATAAAAATCGTAAACGTTTTCGAACCTTACTAGTTGTTCTTCAGATGAAAAAAAACGACGGAGAACAAAAAATAGAATATCGATATTTAAACAAAATCGAACCCACTTGCGATTTAAAAACGTAGGATTGGACATGCTCGTGCGCTGCGTGTAAACGACGATTAAAGGTCCGTATCGACGAGGGCCTGCCAGGAGACGGACAGATTGATAGTTCCTCTTTATAATTTATGCAGGTGGTGGCGCGGCTAGATTTATAAATGGAGATAAGGTGGTTGGAGGCTATGGGATAAACTGCCGACTACTGGTGGAAGGATGTTGCAATTCGATTTCCTGAGATTTTTGTGTTCTTTTGTGGATATCTATTATAAATAGTGATATCTTGCGTGTCATTAGTTATTGGAAGACTATAGGATAAGAAAACAATCAAGTAGTCCTAATACTTTTTTTTTTTTTGAAAATTTTAAATAATGGCGTAAAAATGGCCCCGACCGATCCACCAAAACGAAACTGAACGATAAATCGGACTTCATTACGATGATGTATCTGCCGGTATATCGAAAGGAAAATTGAAAAACTTTTGAGGTTTGGGTCATTTTCTGGCTTAAAAACTGTAATTTTCGATCAACTTCCGGTCGGAAATTGAATTTGAATTACGAGCTTCCGGCTGAACTTTAGAATTAGATATTTCACCCTCACTGAGAAGACACTTTCAGTAAACTGTGGTAAAAACTTTATTAAAATTCGCTTGCTAGAATGTAAATTCTACCAATGCATTCCATTTTGAACTTATTGTCTTTCAAGGTTGCGGCCAACGACATATATGTTCTAAATTATCATAACTGGAAGTCTAAACTTTTCTGGTTTAGATTTCATTAAATATATAGACTGTCATATATTTCTGAAATTATTTATTGCAGTTTAATTTCTTATTCATTAGCAGTGTTCTAGTTATTAGTAATCACTTTATTTATTCATTTAAAAATTAGTTTTACGAGTATACACTGAGTCATGATGGAAGAATTTAGTTGTTCTCTAGTTAAAAAACATTCGAATGGCGAAGAGGAAGATGTCGGTCTTTCCCAAATTCTTTGTTAAAAAGGTAATCATTAAATACGTGGAAGAATATGCTAGCTCCAGATTAGGATCGAAAATCCATGTCCAATTTATAACAGAAAGTCTCGAAAAAATAATAGAAATATATAAACATAATAGAATAAAAATTGACGGCCGAATAAACGAAATCAATAATAAAATAGATAAATTACTGAGTAATACCGAAAAGAATGAGCAGGTTAACATATGCAGACAAAGTAAAGGAAGGGAAAAATCATCAAAAAGACGGTAAGGCGGTAGTAATAATAAACCATAAAGATGATAATGTTGAATCAGAGGAAATTAAGAAGATAAAGAATATTATAGACCCTGTTAAAATTGGGGTTGGAATAAAAAATGTCCGCAAATTACGAAACAAGGCAATTCTAATAGAAGTAAAAAATATTAATCAAAGCGAAAGACTGATAAAAGAAATAGATAAAAGAGAAGATTTGGTTGCTAGAAAACCAAAAAAGATAATGCCTAAAATATGTCTATATAACGTCCCAAAAGAAATAGGGAAAAAAGACTTAATTGACAAAATGTATAAACAGAATGATTATATTACTACAGAGTATATTGATATAGAAGACTACACTACGGATATCAAGGTAAAATATAAATGGGGAAAGGCAGATGAAGTTAAACATTGTATATGTGAGGTTTCCCCTAAATTAAGACTACTACCATTAAAACAGAAAAAGGTAAATCTGGCATGGGTTAGATGTACTGTACATTATTGCAATCAATACATGACCGCGATTGAACTTTTAAATGCTAATAAAAAATGGATACCAAGTAATTTCTATTTCCCAATGAAAGTGAATATCACTACCCATTTGGAAATTTTAGACAGAATATGCAGCAGATACCAACAAAGTCACGAAATGATATTAGGCGGAGACAGCAATGCACATTCGTATGTATGGTTTGATGAGAACTCTGACGTAAGAGGAGGCGAAATTGAAGAATTTGTAGACAAAACCAATTCATCCTTAACGAACCAGAAATGCCAAGCACGTTTGAAAGCTCAAATGGAAGTTCAAACATAGACTTAACAATAATAAATAATAGAGCGATAAATGAGGTTGATAAATGGACAGTATGTGATGAAACGAGTCTAACTGAACATAGATACATTACATTTGAAATTGATCAGAAGATTCACAATAATGGTATTAAAAGTATAACTTAAAAAGAGCTAACTGGGAAAGAATAGTGGAAGACTTAAAATCTGCAAAGATAGATTTGAGAAATATAGAAAATCGCCACCAGGCAAAAGCAGTACTTACGAAGTTAATTCAGATAATAACAAGAGCAATTGAAAGGAATATCCCACTAGGCCTATACGACGATAGGAAAAAAATAGTGAAATGGTGGACTCCTGAATTAAAAGCATTAAAAAGTAAAGTAAGAACAAAGAGAAAGAGATACGAAAAATGTAGCGATCAGAACTTGAGAACTATTTTTAGAGAACAATATCTAGAGGAACAGAAAAATTATAAGAGAAGGATAAAAGAAAGTAAAGAGCTGGATACAATTCTGTGAAAAAGTGCTGGAGACTCCTGGGGTTTGATCTATAAAATCCGCAGCTGGGAAATTAAGAAGATTTCAGTTAACAGAAATTAAACAAGAAAATGGGCCTGTTAACGCTACAGCAGAAGAGAGCTTAAAATTATTACTTACGTAATTCGTTAAAATAGATGATAAAAATAAAGACAGCAGAGAGCAAAAAAAAAAGTTAAGAGAAAGTTTACGATACAAAACAAGTGGTGGAAATGTTCCGTTATTCTCAAAGGAAGAGATACCTTGGGTAATATCGAACATTAAACAAGGGAAAGCCCCAGGACATGATCTAATTACAATAGAAATTGTAAAACAAATAAATAACAGAGAGCCATATCTTCTATACGAATTATATAACACTTGTTTAAAATTTGCGGTTTTCCCAGCTGAATGGAAAATTGCAAAAATTTGACCAATCTATAAGGGTAAAAACAAAGATCGAAAAGAAGAAAGAAGTTATAGACCAATCTCTCTCCTTCTTGTTCTGGGAAACATTTTGGATAAGTTAATAGTATATCGTCTTACAACTTGGCTAAATTCAAACAAATGGTATAACGAAAATCAATACGGGTTTCAAGAAGGACGTTCAGCGGAAGATGCTATACCAAAATTAATTAAAGATGTCGAAGAAGGGAGGAAAAATAACAGCCGGACCATTGCTCTCAGTCTTGATATAGAAGGTGCTTTTGATAATGCATGGCGGTCACTAATCCATGCTAAATTAGAGGAGGCAAATTGCCCAAACAATTTGTATCGTCTTATATGTGATTATCTAACAAACAGAAAGGCATACATAGAATATGCGGACATAAAAATGGAAAGGAAAATGACTATGGGGTGTCCACAGGGATCCTGTTCTGGACCCATTTTTTGGTCAATTATATTAAACGAGCTCTTGAAATCAATACATTATCAGAATCAAAAATAACAGCTTTTGCTGACGATATAATGATCATCTGTTCGGCAAAAAGCAGAAAACAAATAGAAATAAAATGCAAAAATATACTGGATAAAATAGAGAAATGGGGAAATGCAAACAAACTTAAATTTAATCCAGAGAAGACAAACGCCATAGCCTTTACAACATGCAAAGTGGCAAAAAGGCAACCCACAATTAAAATGCAAAATAAATCGATTAAATGCGTAAACCAAATCAACTATTTAGAAGTAACAATAGATAACAAACTTTTCTGGAATGAACACCTAGAAACAATTAAGAAAAAGTGTGTAACCTATTTCAAGAAATAGTGAAAGTAGCACGTAAAGAATGGAGTATAGGTGGAAGGGCTTTAACACATATTTATAAAGGTGCTGTAATCCCAATTGTTACATATGCTGCCCAAATTTGGGGGAAGAGGNATATAAATTCTAAAAATAACTTATAATAAATATGATAATATGATAATGTTTTTAAATATTTGCTTTATTAAGATTTAAATTACGTTATTTTCTGCATGGAAACCCAACGTTGCATATTATAAATGTAGCTGAAGGTGGCATTTCCTGGTCATTTGAATAAAATTTTATTACATATTAAATTTGTAAACTTATTTACGGACCACATAGTGTTTGCGAGAATTAAGAACTCGATATACGTTGTGTTCATTTTAATCTAGAATATTATTCTTGAACGAATTTTCTTTTGATGATATAATTATGTGCCAATTAATCTTTACTATTAAATATTTTGATTTGATTTCAAAATTAATAATATACTGATTTTTATTAACATACGTAATCAATAACTAAATAAAATTATTATTATAACAGTGAGTTTATTTTTCTAAGTTAACTTTTGATAAATTTTGTAATTTAATTTAGTATATTTAGTAATAGTATAAACTATTTGAAACTAATCTACTACAACATTCCTCACGTAACGTGGAAACCCTGTTGGCCCGCCTTAGAACAGGCACGGCCCCTTTAAACGGGTTACTTTATTCTAGACGCCTACGAGCCTCGCCAGACTGTCCACATTGTGGCGCTCAGGAGACGTCCCGCCCAATGTTGCCACGTCTACCGAATTTTCGGTAGATCTACCGATCTACCGAAAAGTTTACGATAATTCGAGAAAGAAATTTTTATTTTCGATGTATCTAAATATTCTCAATAAAACATTTCTTTTTACCTTTATTTCTTATATATTGTAAGAGACTTTATTGCAAAGACTATCTCGTTTTGTTGAGAATATCTTGTGTCTGCCCCATTCTTCAGCTCAAGTAGAAAGAATATTTTCGTAAATAAATCTGTTAAACACGAAACAAAGAAATAAACTGAGCTCCGAAACAATCACTGGCTTACTTCTTACTAAACAATTAATTGGAAAAAATTACTGTTATGATTTTCCTGTAAAAGATAATTTAATTTCAAAAATAACAAACAGAGTGTTAAAAAACATACAAACAGAAGATATTGAATAATAATTATTATTATTAAT